CTTTTGTCGGATCACTGTTTGATCCATACAAAACAGAAAAAAAAGAAGTTTGTAACTGTTTTTTTGTCGGATCACTGAATGATCGATTAAAAAAACAGGAAAAACCCCACAAAAAAAAACAGAAAAACTCTGGAAAAAAAAATGGAAAAATAAGAAGTTAATTACTGTTTTTTTGCTGGATCGCTGATTGATCCATAAAAAAAACAAAAAAAAGAAGAAAAAACTTTTTTAAAAATCAAAACAAAGAAAAAACCCATGAAAAAAAAAAAAAAAAGTTTGTTACTGTTTTTTGTCGGATCACTGATTGATCGATTAAAAAAAGGACAGGAAAAAAAAAAGAAAAAAAAATGTTTTTTGCACGCTGATTGATCAAAAAAACAGGAAAAAAAGAAAAAAAAGAAAAAAAAAGTTTGTTACTGTTTTTTGCTGGGTCGATGATTGATCCACAAAAAAACAGGAAAAAAAAAGACAAAAGAAAAACAAAAGAAAAGAAAAGAGATGTTGCGTCCAGTGGTTTCTTCCACGATCTCTCCTTGGGCTTGAAACGAGGAATAAGGACGACTAAAGTGAGTATAGGAGAGGTAAGAATATTATCACATTACTTTACAAGAATGCTTTGATACTGTTGCTTTTGTCGGATCACTGTTTGATCCATAAAAAAACTGAAAAAAAAGAAAAATAAGACGTTTGTTACTGTTTTTTGTTGGATCGCTGATTGATCCATTAAAAAACAGGAAAAAAAGATTTTTAAAAAAAACAGAAAAAATTTGAAAAAAACCCCTGAAAAATATAAGTTTGTTACTGTTTTTTGTCGGATCACTGATTGATCGATTAAAAAAAACAGGAAAAAAGAAAAATAAATCACAAAAAATCAAACACTAAAAACAGAAAAAAAGAAGTGTGTTACTGTTTTTTGTTGGATCGATGATTGATCCACAAAAAACAGGAAAAAAAGAAAAAAAAGACAAAAGAAAATAACAGAACAAAAGAAAGAAAGAAGTTGCGTCCAGTGGTTTCTTCACGATCTCTCCTTGGGCTTGAAACGAGGAATAAGGACGACAAAAGTGAGTATAGGAGAGGTAAGAATATTATCACATTACTTTACAAGAATGCTTTGATACTGTTGCTTTTGTCGGATCACTGTTTAATCCACAAAAAACAGAAAAAAGAAAAAAATGACGAGGAAAACAGAAAAAAAATACTGAAAAAAGAAGTTTGTTACTGTTTTTTGTCAGATCACTGATTGATCAATTAAAAAAACAGGAAAAAAACAGACAAAAAGAATACAAAAAAAAATAAAAAATCAGAAAAAAAACCTGAAAAATATAAGTTTGTTACTGTTTTTTGTTGGATCCTTAAAAAAAGAATAAAAAAACAAAAAAACTGAGAAGGAAAACAGAAAAAATGAAAAAAATTTGGAAAAATAAGAAGTTTGATACTGTTTTTTGTCTGATTGATCCATCAAAACAAGAAAAAATTGAAAAAACCCCTGAAAAATATAAGTTTGTTACTGTTTTTTGTCGGATCACTGATTGATCGATTAAAAAACAGGAAAAAAGAAAAATAAATCACAAAAAATCAAACACAAAAAACAGAAAAAAGAAGTTTGTTACTGTTTTTTGCTGGATCGCTAATTGATCAGTCAAAAAACAGGAAAAAAATAAAAGACAAAAGAAAATAACAGAACAAAAGAAAGAAAGAAGTTGCGTCCAGTGGTTTCTTCCACGATCTCTCCTTGGGCTTGAAACGAGGAATAAGGACGACAAAAGTGAGTATAGGAGAGGTAAGAATATTATCACATTACTTTACAAGAATGCTTTGATACTGTTGCTTTTGTTGGATCACTGTTTGATCCATAAAAAAACTGAAAAAGAAAAAAAAGAAGTTTGTTACTGTTTTTGTTGGATCCTTAAAAAAAGAATAAAAAACAGAAAAAGGAAAACAGAAAAAATGAAACAAAAAATGGAAAAATAAGAAGTTTGTTACTGTTTTTTTTGTCTGATTGATCCATCAAAACAAGAAAAAAAGATTTAAAAAAATCTGAAAAAACCCCTGAAAAATATAAGTTTGTTACTGTTTTTTGTCGGATCACTGATTGATCGATTAAAAAAACAGGAAAAAAGAAAAATAAATCACAAAAAATCAAACACTAAAAACAGAAAAAAAGAAGTGTGTTACTGTTTTTTGCTGGATCGATGATTGATCCACAAAAAAACAGGAAAATAATAAAAGACAAAAGAAAATAACAGAACAAAAGAAAGAAAGAAGTTGTGTCCAGTGGTTTCTTCACGATCTCTCCTTGGGCTTGAAACGAGGAATAAGGACGACAAAAGTGAGTATAGGAGAGGTAAGAATATTATCACATTACTTTACAACAATGCTTTGATACTGTTGCTTTTGTTGGATCACTGTTTGATCCATAAAGCCTAGCGTACATCGGACTGGCAACTGATTATATCCGTCGCATATGAGTTGCTGCCCCGCACACATCGACAATCTGACGAAAACGGGCAACTCCTAGTAGCAGACCAGTCTCGGGAATAACAGCGCGTACATCGACAGCAACTGGTCTCAACTACAGTGTGTTTTCTGACATTAACTGTTGCGGGCTCGCAATACACACAATACACACACGTTGTCGGAGCGGCGCATGGAGCGAGCACATCGGGTCATATCTCCGAAACTGAGGACAACTAGTTGCCGAAAAGTAGAACACGGGCAACTGACTGAAACTGGAGACCGACTGATCATCTCCAGTTGTAAGAGCGCTCACATCGACCGATTTCGGCAACTGATCATCTCCCACCATCTACTCTCAGTTGCCAAAAGCCGCCTTGGAACTAGTTGTCCCCAGTTTCTCTGTCGATGTACGCTAGGCTTAAAAAAACTTACTGTTTTACTATTTTTTGTCAGATCACTGACTGATCGATTACAAAAACAGGAAAAAAAGGAAAAAACTGAAAAACGAAAAAAATGACAACAAAAACAGAAAAGAGGATCACTGATTGATCGATTAAAAAAAACAGATAAAAAGAAAAAAAAAGCAGAAAAAAAAAGTTTGTTACTGTTTTTTGCTGGATCGATGATTGATCCACCGAAAACAGACAAAAAGAAAAAACAGAAAAGGAAAACAGAAAAAAGGAAAAAAATATACTGGAAAAAAAGGGAAAAAAATAACTTTGTTACTGTTTTTTGTCAGATCACTGATTAATCGATTAAAAACAGGAAACAAAGGAAAAAATAGATAAAAAGAAAAAAAACAGAAAAAAACCCAGAAAAAATAAGTTAGTTACTGTTTTTTGCTGGATCGCTGATTGATCCATCAAAAACAGGGAAAAAAAAAAGAAAAAAAGAAAAGAAGGACTGGTGATGATCCAGAGCACTGTAAGATTCTACAACATGTAAGGACATTTTCTACATGTGTTCTATATTCTTTTTGTGTCTTAACTGTTGATTCTCTGATCTGTGTTGGTGATTTCAATGGTTTTGTTAAGTCCTCTGAGATGACTTCTGTTGTGATTCAGGGCTGTACAAGAATAAATTGTATTGTATTTTATTGTATGATTAAGACTTTTTTCTTTAGTGAGTTGTACATTAGTGAAGTCCCTTAAAAGGCAGGGATGTTTTTCAATGTCAGTTACTGGATACATTATCAAGGTTTTGAAGTAAGATTGGAATGTATTTGGACTTAAAACAATAATTTCTGATGGAGAAAGAAACAAATATTTCTCACAATAGTGAAAAATAACAAACTAAACCCCAAAGCATTTCCCTGTGGTTTTATGGCTTTGACAAAAGTATATGAACAAGTGTGAAGCAGCTAGAATGAGAATCAGCACTTCCAAATCTGAGGACATGAAGCTTGAACGGAAGAAAAGTTGCCTTCCCCTCTCTAGACGGGTGAAGAGGCCCTTCAAGTATCTCAGGAACTTATTTCAAGACATAAACTGATAGAGCGTGAGATTCACAAACGGATCGGCGCAGTGTGTGCAGTGATGGGATTGTTGTAGTGTAGAAGGAGCAGCGTCTGCGGACAAAGCTTTCAATCGTTCAATCTACATTCCCACCCTCACCTATGGTAATGAGTTTTGGGTATGGACTGAAAGGAGGTCACGCAGACCAATGTCTTCTATGTGTTGGTATTATTGTATTTCTGGGGTTCAAACCATAGACTGTATATATTAACGGACAGAGTCACGCCTATCTCCGCCGTTTTGCTCAAAAAATTTGCTCTACTGGAGCAATCCAAAATGGCTGCCAGTGGGTCCCGCCCACAAGAAAATTGTGAAAAAACGCATCTGCGCATGCGTCAGCCGGCGCAGCTCCATTCATTTGAACGAGAAACTTCAGAAATTCACAGCAAGTAAACTAGAGTGGACCAAAAAAATTCACACCCCTCAGCATTGACACACATGTGGAACGGAGCTTTGGGCCAAGAGACAACTTTTGGACCATCCTGTAAAGACGTTTTTGAGAGGTCTCTAATGCTAACATATAGCATTGGCTAATTCCACTTCTGGGTCCACCCCCATCGGCCCGGGGTGGTATTGCAGCATGTCAGCGCACGTCATTTTGGCCACTTTTGAGCTGGGACCCTCCCCCACTGGTTCAAACGGCTTGATTAATTTGTTGTTGAGGTCTTGACAACTTTGTGAAGTCCTCCAAGACGAGTTCTATGGTGATTTATGGCGTAACAACAAAAAATTGAGTTGAATTAGAACAAGAAAGTCTAAATGACAGCCCATGTCCAAAACTACTATCTCTCCACACACATTTTTAGCACCAAATGCATTCAAAACCTTTTACCCACACCATATGCATACCGGGTGATGAAATACCACAGAAAAACAATATTTAAACCGTAGTTCTTTCTGAGACTAAAGGTGATTGTGGTTAGCTGTCCTGTGGTTCAGTTTTGATGCCCCCCTCCCTCCTCCTGCCGTCTCGAGTATTTAAAAGCGCCCAGATGTCACCAGAGCAGAACGAGCCCTGAAGAAGACATGGCCCGCTCCTCTCTTGTGGTTCTGTGCGTCCTGCTCTCATACTCTGGTGAGATCTCAGACCATACTTTACATTTTTGGGTCAAATCATTTAATTCTTGTATTGTTTGTTATAGCGTGGATAGTCAAGGGAAAATGTGTGGAAATCGACAACGAAGAACCGAATGAAAAAGAACTCTTGGCTCTGGCAAAGGTATCAAAGTTAATGGAGGATTTTCTGAAAGATTTTATCCTCAATTTCAAAGCCCATGAAAACAATTTGGAAAGATAGTATTTGTTTGTATCAAGAAAAACAATCAATCTTGCTGGTCGCATTTCCATTACACTGTAGTATCTGGTACCGTATCCTAGAAGCCTAGCCACAACAAACCAATCTCTGTGGAAATTCCTGGGTAACCATAGCTTCCAGCAGCACTCTGGACAGTCAGTTAGACCACTTTAGAACCAGTTCGGCCTGTCCTAACCAGTTTCCACCAGTCCTAACGGGGCTAAAATTTCAATCTTAAAACAAGCCTGTCCAACGGAACAAGCAGCTTTAATGTCATTTCATAGATTTGTGTGTTTTGTCATTTATTCACATTTTTTAAAGTTGTCCGGAAAATGTGTCTTTTTGCCGATGTTAGATCCCGGGAGTCTGCTGGGCCTGTAAGTGGGCTATGAACAAGGTCAAGAAAATGGTTGGAAAAAATGCCTCAAAAGAGGTCAGTGCACATTCCTCTTTACAAAACAGCCCACTCCATATACACATTTATATTTCTACATATTTTTGTTATTTTGTTTTTCTGTTGTTGTCTTGTTGTTCTGTTTAAGATTGTACTTAATCTTTTGTGTTCTATTCAGTGTTATTTTTTAGGATTAAAGAGATACTTTTTGTGTATATATAAAATGCGCTTATTTATAAAACCAAAACAAAATCAACATATTTTTGTGTTAAATGTCAATGTGTTTTATCGTCTGTTTTGTTGTCCTTAACCCGTTCATAGTTTAACATCCCATTCCTCTTTACAAAACAGCCCACTCCTCCACAGCACACTGAGACTGAATCATCTAACCACCTTCCTGATGTTTGCAGGACTTCAAAGCCAAACTGCTGTCCGTGTGCGACCAGATTGGACTGATCAAGTCGCTCTGCCGGAAGTTTGTGAATAAACACCTGGGGGTCCTCATCGAAGAACTGAGCACCAACGACGACGTGCGCACCATCTGTGTCAACACCAAGGCCTGCAGGTCACTCAGCAATACAAACATGGCCGCTGTTTATTTATTTTTGGTCAATTGTTTGGTATTTTTGCCGATAATACATACACTGACTGCATTACAACCAAAAGTCCATCCTGACTACTATGTGGAAAATAAAACAATAATAAACATTTTATAGACTGATTTTAAACTCAAAATACATCTTTGCTCGAACATTTTTTAATCTTATTTTATTTATAAATCTTTATCAAGGACACAATACAATATGATCCATAGTTAAAAGAAAATATATAATACATGCTGTTTATTGAACATTTAAAAATAAATATGTACATAAAAAAGCATTATAGCTGCTGTAGAGTTACGCAGACAACACATGAATCTAAACTGTACTTTTTTAAGATAAGAAATACAATATTGATCTTACAATGGAGAAACTATATTATTATTTTATTTATTTATCTACTATATTCATTTATGATCTCTCTTTTTTAGGCCAAAGGCATTGCAGATGGATGGACTTTATCTGGATTACGATACCGACTGGTTTAATGGAAATGACATGGAAGAATAATGGATAACTGCAGGCGTGACTCAGACCTTTTTTGTGGCCCCTGAAATGATTTTCAATTATCTTTATTGCAGTAACTTGCAGCGTTGATGGTAGTGGAATACAATGGCATGTTATACTTGCCACATAAAGCCACCTGTGCCATTCCTTTAGTGATAACACAAAGAATACATTACAGAAAAACATCTGAAGTTAATCAGTCTAATCAGGAAAATCTAATCCTTGTTCCGTGTAAGAATCAGCCGACCACAACCGCTGATACTGAAACTTTGAAACTTGCTATGCTAAATGTCAGATCTCTTTGTAACAAGTCTTTTTTAATCAATAATTTTATTTGTTCTTATAATCTAGATCTTATGTTCATGGCTGAAACATGGCTTGACCGAAATACAGAAAATGCAGTTTTAATAGAAGCGTCACCACCAAATTTCAAATTTGAATCTGAAATACGGGGAAACAAAAAAGGAGGAGGCTTAGCTGCCATTTTCAGAGACCACTTTGTCTCCCATAGAATGTCTCTTGGGAAGTTTCCGTCTTTTGAATATGTGTCTTTTAAAATACAACTAAAACAATCTAGTCCAATACTCTTCATTGTCCTATACAAGCCACCGCAGTCATGTCACAGATTTATTGATAATTTTACGGAGTTTCTTTCGGTTTTATGCACAGATTTTGATAGCTTAGTTATTACAGGGGATTTTAATATTCATGTGGATAAGGTTATTGACAGAAGGGCAAAAGAGCTGAGTTCTGTTCTTGAATCTTTTGGTCTCACTCAGCATGTGAGTGGCCCCACCCACAGCAGAGGGCACACTCTAGATCTGTTAGTTACAAAGGGGGTGAATATTTCAAATGTAAACGTGGTCGATGTTGCGCTTTCGGATCATTTTTGTGTATTTTTTGACATGTGTTTCACTAACAAACCACCAGTGGACTCTGCAACTGTACGAAGAAGACACATAAATGAAAATACGGGTGAACTATTTATGGGAATGATAAACTTTGAGAATGCATCGTATTCTACTGTAGATGAACTGTTTAACTCTGTCACCTCTAGTGTTTTGAATGTTCTGGACACCATCGCTCCTGTGAAGGTTAAAACAGTGAAAAATAAGCAGAAGGCGCCGTGGGCTAAAGCAGACTCGGTCAGGGCACAAAAGAGAGAGTGCCGGAGGGCCGAGCGGAAGTGGCGCAAGTCCAACCTCCAGGTTGATTACGAGATCTTCAAAGATAAGTTGTGCGAGTTTAACCAGGTGCTACGTAGTACGAGAGAAAGGTATTTTTCTGAAATGATTGAAGGCTGCAGCAACAATCTGCGTGTTCTGTTTTCAACAGTTAATAGATTAACAAACCCCCCTGTTCAGATGCCATTAGAGCTAACTTCCAAACGTAAATGTAATGAGTTTGCACATTTTTTCAATGACAAGGTTCAAGGCATCAAAAACGCCATTGTCTCCAATCCACAGATAACCATCCAACAGCCTAAAAGGCTCTTTGAGCTAACTTACTTTGCACCTGTAAATGATCAAACTGTCCAAGAGATAATCTCCAGTCTGAGCGCCTCCACATGTAGCCTGGATGTACTACCCACTAGATTTCTAAAGTCTGTTCTGAGCAGTCTGTTACCTTCACTCACACAGATAGTAAACATGTCCCTTCATTCTGGAATATTCCCAAAGGCCCTGAAAACTGCAGTCATCAGGCCCCTGCTTAAAAAGAGCAGTCTGGATGCTACGGTACTTAACAACTACCGTCCCATCTCAAATCTGCCATTTATGGGGAAAGTCCTTGAAAAAGTTGTCTACCAACAGCTAAATAGATTTCTTATAATCAACAACTCATTTGATATGTTTCAGTCCGGCTTTAGACCCCACCACAGCACTGAGACTGCTCTCGTCAGGGTTACAAACGATATCCGGCTAAACACTGACGCAGGCAAAGTCTCAATCCTAATCCTGTTAGATCTGAGTGCTGCCTTTGACACTGTCGACCATGAGATCCTCTTACAGAGACTAGAGGACTGGGTTGGCGTCGCTGGCACCACCCTAAGTTGGTTTAGGTCTTACCTTGAAGACAGGAAGTACTTTGTGGAGATTGGAAACTGTGTCTCAGATCATATGGCCCTGACCTGTGGAGTACCACAGGGGTCGATCCTGGGACCTCTTCTTTTCAATCTCTACATGCTGCCGTTAGGTCAGTTAATACGCAGAAACGAAGTTTCCTATCATAACTATGCAGATGACACTCAGATCTATGTCTCACTGACTGCAGGAGAACATGGACCAGTGGACTCACTCCTTCACTGTATCCAACAGATCAGTGAGTGGATGCAAAACAACTTCCTTCAGCTAAACGCAGACAAAACTGAAATGATTGTCTTTGGTCCCCAGAAACAAAGAGAGAGCGTCATCTGTCATCTACAGTCTCTCTCCCTAAAACCTTCAAACAAGGTCAGAAATCTAGGGGTAATACTGGACTCAGACTTAAATTTTAATAGCCACATCAAATCAGTAACATCAGCAGCTTTTTACCATCTAAAAAACATTTCCAGGATCAAAAACATAGTGTCTAAAGCAGACTTGGAGATTCTTATCCATGCATTTGTCTCCAGTAGGTTAGACTACTGCAATGGCCTGCTCACAGGTCTGTCCAAACAGGCTGTAAAACAGCTGCAGTACATTCAAAATGCAGCAGCTCGAGTCCTGACTAGAACCAGGAAGTACGACCATATTAGTCCGGTCCTCAGGTCTCTGCACTGGCTTCCTGTGGCTCAGAGAATAGACTTTAAAACAGCTTTGCTTGTGTACAAGTCTCTCCATGGCCTCGCACCAAAATATATTAGTGACATGTTAGTCCCATATGAACCAGCCCGGACTCTGAGGAGCACAGGGACTGGACTCCTGTTAGTGCCCAGAGTCAGAACTAAACATGGGGAGGCTGCTTTTCAGATTCATGCTGCTAAAATCTGGAACATTCTTCCTGAAGATGTGAGACAGGCCTCCTCTCTGACTATGTTTAAAACCAAGTTAAAAACTGTGCTGTTTAGCTGTGCATACAACTGAGGGATTTTATATTTTTATCTTTCTTTTTAATGTTCTGTGATTATTTATGATTTTAATGCTATCTTGTTCAGCACTTTGAGTTGCCTTGTGTATGAATTGTGCTATACAAATAAACTTGCCTTGCCTTGCCTTGCCACATGCTCTCAGGAAAACTACGAGGAAATTGTATCTGTTCTAAAATGTAATTAGAATAGTTATAGTTATTTAAAAAACACAAAAATATCAAGTAATTCCTATACATCACTTATTTGTATTTGGCGCAGTTGTGGTTAAATCTAGCCGTCTTACCCATTGTGCTAATTTCATCCAAACATACAGTTAATTTGTCAAAACCTTTAAACCACTTTTATACTTCTGGTCCCAACCAGCTCTTATGTTTTTAAATTGAGATTGGCACCCCTGTTCTACTGTGTACAATGTGGAGAAGATATGAAAGCCTGAGTAACTTGGATGCTTTGTTTTGGTTTAATTGCCATGTGTATTCTATTGACGTGTAAAAAAATAAATAAAAATAAATTCAGTATATTATCATTTACATCCTAATTGTTTTGCTTTTCTTAATATTTCAGTCCATAGTATATGTGATAATAATTTAAAGGTGCGACAGTAGCTCAGATGGTAGACCGTCTCCACAGACTCCCACTGATGTCTGCTGTCGTTGTGTCCTTGGCAAGACTTAACCTCTGGGAACACCAGGTGCCACAGTGGAGCGGCTGCAAAGTGTGCTTAGACAAGACACTTCACCCCCATTGCATAGAATGAGTCTGGTGTGTGTGAGAGTGGTTGGTAGTTGGAGGAGTTGATGGTACATACTGGTTGCCTCGCTTCTGTCAGTGTGGCAGGGCAGCTGTGGCTACAGTAGTAGTTTATCACCACCGTGTATGGAGTGAATGAATATAAAGCGTCTATGAGTGTTCAAAAAAGCGCTCTATAAAACCGATGCAGTATTATCAATTTGGGTGATACACCATTCAACACTCAAAACTTGCATAGAGCTAACATCACCTCACGCTGACTCTAAACACAGAATTATTTTGCTTTCACCAGTACATAAACATTTCAGACCTTAAAATAAGCTCTGTAAAAAAATGACAATCCGTCACATATATCCCAGAGCTCCTCCAGAATCCGACCCTAAATATTTAGTTCACAACCAGTTTGTTGCATTGTACTTACAGATCCGAGCTCTTCGTTAGCGTATTTTATCGTGGGAATTACACAGGTTTCCAGATCAACTTTTGAATAAGTCCAGTTCATGGATCAGTCCAGTTTCATGATAGGCGAGCAGTCTTTGCAGAAGTGTCTCGCAGAAACACAGATTTGTGGCAGATTTCCGAGGCAGATCCCGTGAAAAGAAAGTGCAGCTACACTCGCGCATACCTTGTCTTCGGGTCAAATTCACATATTTACACCCAAAAACACATTTCTCCAATTTGACTTGATTCTATTGCTTTAGTAGAAAAAAAGCAGAGAAGCAAACGCCTTATATTCATTCACTCCATACACGGGCGACAGTAGCTCAGTTGGTAGAGCCTTTGAGCCAGAAGGTTGGGGGTTCGAGCCTGACTTTCACCATCGACTCCCACTGTTGTTGTGTCCTTAGGCATGACACTTTACCCCCATTGCCTAGAATGAGTCTGGTATGTATGTGAATGGTTGGTGGTGGTCGGAGGGGCCGATGGCGCATACTGGTTGCCTTGCTTCTGCCTGTGTGCCCCAGGGCAGCTGTGTAGTAGTAGTTTATCACCACTGTGTTTGGAGTGAATGAATTTAAAACGTCTTTGAGTGTCCAACACAGCTCTATATAAAACTGATCCATTATTATTATTATTATCATTATTAAACACAGATTGTGGTAGTGGGTCGGTGGGTCCAGACCAGTGGGGGCGGGTCCCGGCTCCGAAAGGTCCATGAGCACTTGCACTGACATGCTTCCAATCCCAATCCTAGTCGGTGGGGGTGGACCCGGAAAGAGAATTACCCACTGTTTTCATTTGGAGTCTTCTTTGCTTTCAAAAACGGCTTTACAAAATGGTCCATAAGTGTCTCTAACTGTCTAGTTTAGCCGCTGTGGACTTAAGCTTTGTTAAATGAATTGGGCTAGTGCCGGCTGACGCATGCGCAGATGCGTTTCTTCACATTTTCCAGCCCCACGGTCATTTCAAAAAGCCCTTTTTGGTTTCTCTCTCCTGTCAATCACCTGCTGGAGGTGGGGCTTCTGGAGCTCGAGCTACATGTGAAAATGCTACGTAACAAAGTGAATCAGGTCATTTCTGTGCATCTCAAGAATGACAGAAAGATCGCTGTCTAACTAAAGCTCGAGGGTATCAATGAAAAAACTACTCTGGGGCATGTGTTTGGAGGCCAAATAGCAATGTAATGAGGTTTAAACCAGAGAAAAGTAAAAAAAAAAAAAAAAAAAGATATACTTCTAAAGCATAATATGGAAAACACCAGCTCTTTCCTCCACAACACAACGGCCAATTCTTCTTTAGTAAACAGCTCACTCCTCCACACAACAGCAATTTCTCTCATACGTATAAAGTTAGCCTGTCTCTCTTGGTGCCATTTCCTTTGTTGTTTTCACACCCTGCAAACAAATGTCTTTTTAATTCACACTTTATAAACCACAAGCTCGAACTACGTGCAGATATAGCAACTTCTTCTTTATAGTAACTTCTGTTTTGTAACTCTCGACTTCTGATAATGTTGACATCCTCACTGTATTTACTTGCTTTAGAAAAAAAAAAAGTGTTTTCTGTGTGTTTGAAACGTTTTTTCCAAACATCTTCTCTAGAGCTGGGCATCATTTGGAGCTGGTCGATGTGCGTTCACATCTACACAGGGGACTATTGATATATTTATGTTTTATTCACTTAGAATTGTTACTGAAACAAAAATAAAAATGTAAATATGTGAATAAAATAATAATTGGCAAAATATTAAAATAATATTTCTTTATCAAAAAAATCTTGTGCCTAATTATCTGTGAGTGAAGGATGAACTGTAAGATTGACAAACTAATCTCCAGACTGATGTGGTAAAAAGGGAGCAGCGTCTACAGTCAAAGCTCTTGCTTTACCGGTCACCCTCCCGCACCTCTGGTCATGAGCGTTGTGTGAAGACCGAAAGGTGGCATGGCACATGTTGAGAAGCCAGCTGCTGTAGAAGAATGAGCTGGAGGAAGAGTGTGTGGAGAGGGAAGTCTGTCTCTGCAAACTGGCAAATAATAAAGCTGAAGAATCTGGATTGATGGATATTTAAAAATCTAGTTTTTACCACAACCCTAATATTCACTGCTTTTGGTACTGTTTAAGAACCAAGAGAAAATACATAGTGGATTGACTTTAAATATACAAAAAGTTATTACAAATGTTCAAACTTTAATTTTGTTTTTGTTTGTCACTCTGAAACAAATTCAGGCAATAGCGACAATAAACGTCTTATGGCAAAAAAAACCAATACTTTTTCACATAATTATCAAAGGACACATAAATAAGTACATAGACAACACTCGCAGTAAGAAATATACTAAAAACCATGTCATAACTGAAGACGACGGTAAAAAATGTTTAGTTGTTGTTTGCATCAGTTTCATGTGGGAGGGGCTGAGGACATGAGGCACCTGGAGGTTCTGTCCACAAAGTGTCCGTGTCTGTCCCACTGCTGCTTCAAACCCTCTCGGTCCAGTTTGTTCAGCGAGAGAGAACAAAGCCTCAGGTCATGGATCAGATCTGGCAGCCCGTCCAGAACCAAGGAGTCCCAGGGCCCGCACACCTGGCAACCTGAGCGCAACAAACACAGATTATTATAACCTAAGCACGACCGCAGAAACAAGGGGATAAGAACATAAGCTAGCTCAGTGATTCCCAAACTTTTTTCTGCTGGGTCCCCTTTGGTACATAAGAATTTTTTGCTCCCTCCGAAAAAAAAGAGGACATACAGTGGGGCAAAAAAAGTATTTAGTCAGCCACCGATTGTGCAAGTTCTCCCACTTAAAATAATGACAGAGGTCTGTAATTTTCATCATAGGTACACTTCAACTGTGAGAGACAGAATGTGAAAAAAAAAATCCAGGAATTCACATTGTAGGATTTTTAAAGAATTTATTTGTAAATTATGGTGGAAAATAAGTATTTGGTCAATAACAAAAATTCCACTCAATGCTTTGTAATATAACCTTTGTTGGCAATAACAGAGGTCAAACAATTACTATAGGTCTTTACCAGGTTTGCACACACAGTAGCTGGTATTTTGGCCCATTCCTCCATGCAGATCTTCTCGAGAGCAGTGAACACAGACTTTCAAATCCCTCCACAGATATTCAATGGGGTTGAGGTCTGGAGACTGGCTAGGCCACTCCAGGACTTTCAAATGCTTCTTACGGAGCCACTCCTTCGTTCCCCGGGCCGTGTGTTTGGAATCATTGTCATGCTGGAAGACCCAGCCACGTTTCATCTTCAAAGCTCTCACTGATGGAAGGAGGTTTTGGCTCAAAATCTCACGATACATGGCCCCATTCAACCTTTCCTTATAACGGATCAGTCGTCCTGTCCCCTTAGCAGAAAAACAGCCCCAAAGCATGACGTTTGCACCCCCATGCTTCACAGTAGGTATGGTGTTCTTGGGATGCAACTCTTTCTCCAAACATGACGCGTTTATACCAAACATTTCTACTTTGGTTTCATCTGACCACATGACATTCTCCCAATCCTCTGCTGTATCATCCATGTGCTCTCTGGCAAACTTCAGACGGGCCTGGACATGCACTGGCTTCAGCAGGATTTGATTCCCTGTCGACGTAGTGTGTTACTGATGGTAACCTTTGTTACTTTGGTCCCTGCTCTCTGCAGGTCATTCACCAGGTCCCCCCCGTGTGGTTCTGGGATATTTGATCACCGTTCTAATGATCATTTTGACCCCACGGGATGAGATCTTGCGATCGGGGGAGATTATCAGTGGTCTTGTATGTCTTCTATTTTCTGATAATTGCTCCCACAGTTGATTTGTTCACACCAAGCTGCTTGCCTATTGTATATTCACTCTTTCCAGTCTGGTGCAGGTCTACAATTCTTTTCCTGCTGTCCTTCGACAGCTCTTTGGTCTTGGCCGTAGTGGAGTTTGGAGTCTGACTGTTGGAGGCTGTGGACAGGTGTCTTTTATACAGATAACCAGGTCAAACATGTGCCATTAATACAGGTAACAAGTGAAGGACAGAAGAGCTTCTTAAAGAAGAAGTTACAGGTCTGTGAGAGCCAGAGATCTTCCTTGTTTGAAGTGACCAAATACTTATTTTCCACCATAATTTACAAATAAATTCTTTAAAAATCCTACAATTTGAATTCCTGGATTTTCTTTTCACATTCTGTCTCTCACAGTTGAAATGTACCTATGATGAAAATTACAGACCTCTGTCATTATTTTAAGTGGGAGAACTTGCACAATCGGTGGCTGACTAAATACTTTTTTGCCCCACTGTACATACATGTTGCAGTTTCACACTATTATGACCAGTTAAGGACCCACCCTTGTTGTTTTGAGTTCTACTCCACTTTTCTTTAGATAATATAGAATAGACATTTTTTACTTCATTTCTTTTATTAGACTAGCCTGTAGCCTAGGCCTCTTTAGTTATATTTTACTTTTGTTCTTTTGGCACAACTGGGCGACGTTGTAATTAACATAAACCTCAGCCCTAACTGCAGATTGTGTCAAACCTCAACCTTTTTTTTGTTTTTTTATAATAATGAACTGCCATAAACTGCAGATTGTAAAAGTGTATCAGTATTCAAGCACCTTAACCGTGTAATTATGTTCAGTGTTAAAGGTCTTTTTTAAATTTTTTATATTGATCTACTCATTATGCATTTTTGGCTCTCTGCAAAATGGGCTTTAAAACATGACAAAAAAAACCTAAAAATGTATTTTGAGGACTGGGTAGCAGTCGAAGGCGGAGACCTCGACGACCCAGTCCACACACCCAACATCTGGCTCTTGGGACGTGGAACGTCACCTCACTGGGGGGGAAGGAGCCCGAGCTTGTGGGGGAGGTTGAGCGATACCGACTAGAGATAGTCGGCCTCACCTCCACACACAGCTTGGGCTCTGGAACCCAACTCCTTGAGAGGGGTTGGACGCTCCACTTTTCTGGTGTTTCCCGCGGGGAGAGGCGGCGAGCTGGGGTGGCCATACTCATTGCCCCCCATCTCAGCCGCCACGTGTTGGAGTTCTCCCCGGTGAATGAGAGGGTCGCGTCCCTCCGCCTCCGGGTGGGGGACAAGTCTCTCACTGTTGTGACGGCCTACGGGCCTAACGGTAGTGCAGAGTACCCGGCCTTCTTGGAGTCCTTGGGAGGGGTACTGGACGGTGCACCGCCCAGGGACTCCGTTATTCTCCTGGGGGACTTCAACGCCCATGTGGGAAATGCCAGTGACACTTGGAGAGGGGTGATCGGGAAGAACGGCCCCCCTGATCTGAACCTGAGCGGTGTTCAATTGTTGGACTTCTGTGCCAGTCACGGCCTGTTCATCACGAACACCATGTTTGAGCACAAGGGTGTCCATCAGTGCACGTGGCACCAGGACACCCTAGGCCGGAGGTCCGCTGGCAGGGCAGGAGGCCGGTCAGACCTGGCAGGCCCAAGCGTGTAGTGAGGGTTTGCTGGGAACGTAAGAGCTTCTCCCAGGTCCGGGCAGAGGAGGGGGACATCGAGTCCGAGTGGACCATGTTCTCTTCCTCTATCGCCAATGCGGCGGCTCGTAGCTGTGGTCGCAAGGTCTCTGGTGCTGGTCCCGGCGGCAATCCCCGAACCCGGTGGTGGACACCGGCAGTAAGGGATGCCGTCAGCAATGCCTATCGAGCAATGATGGTTCGTGGGACTCCTGAGGCAGCTGTCCAGTACCGGCAGGCCAAACGTGCCGCGGCCCGGGCTGTTGCAGAGGCAAAAACCCGGGACTGGGAGGAGTTCGGAGAGTCCATGGAGCATGACTATCGGTCTGCCTCGAAGAGGTTCTGGCAAACCGTCCGGCGCCTCAAGAGGGGGAAGCAGTTCTTTGCCAACACCGTGTATGATGCGGGTGGAGGGCTGCTGACCTCGACTGGGGATATTGTCGGGCGGTGGAAGGAATACTTTGAGGTTCTCCTCAATCTCCCCGTCACGTCCTCCGTCCAGGAGGCAGAGGTTGAGGATGTTGGGGCGGATACTTCCATCTCCCTGGCCGAGGTCACCAAGGTGGTTGGCAGCCTCCATGGTGGCAAGGCGCCGGGAGTGGATGAGATCCGTCCTGACTAAAGTCTCTGGATGTTGTAGGACTGTCTTGGCTGACACGTCTCTGCAGCATTGCGTGGCGATCGGGGGCGGTGCCAATTGAGTGGCAGACCGGGGTGGTGGTCCCTCTCTACAAGAAGGGGGACCGGAGGGTGTGTTCCAATTATCGTGGGATCACACTCCTCAGCCTCCCCGGTAAGGTCTACTCCAAGGTACTGGAGAGGAGGCTACGTCTGATGGTCGAATCTCGGATTCAGGAGAAGCAGTGTGGTTTTCGTCCCGGTCACTGGACCAGCTCTATACTCTCCATCAGATACTCGAGGGTTCATGGGAGTTCGCCCAACCTGTCCACATGTGCTTTGTGGATTTGGAGAAGGCGTTCGACCGTGTTCCCCGGGGTGTCCTTTGGGGGGTCCTCCGGGAGTACGGGGTCCTCTGCAGAGGGCCGTCCGGTCCCTGTATGACCGGAGTCAGAGCTGTGTTCGCATTGCCGGCAGTAAGTCAGACCTGTTCCCGGTGCATGTTGGCCTCCGCCAAGGCTGCTCTTTGTCACCGGTTCTGTTCACTGTATTTATGGACAGAATTTCTAGGCGCAGCCAGGGGCCGGAGGGGGGCCGGTTCGGAGACCACAGGATTTCATCTCTGCTGTTTGCGGACGATGTTGTCCTGTTGGCTCCAACGAACCAGGACCTGCAGCATGCACTGGAACGGTTTGCAGCCGAGTGTGAAGTGGCTGGGATGAGAATCAGCACCTCCAAATCCGAGGCCATGGTGCTCGACCGGAAAAAGGTGCCTTGCCCTCTGCAGGTGGGTGGAGAGGTCCTTTCTCAAGTATCTCGGGGTCTTGTTCACGAGTGAGGGAAGAATGGAGCGTGAGATTGACAGGCGGATCGGTGCAGCGTGCGCAGTGATGCGGTCTGTGTATCGGACCGTTGTGGTAAAGAGGGAGCTGAGCCGAAAGGCAAAGCTCTCGATTTACCGGTCAATCTTCGTTCCCTCCCTCACCTATGGTCATGAGCTGTGGGTAATGACCGAAAGAACGAGATCGCGGATACAAGCGGTCAAAATGAGCTTCCTCCGCAGAGTGGCTGGGCGCTCCCTTAGAGATAGGGTGAGGAGCTCGGTCACACGGGAGGTGCTCGGAGTATAGCCGCTGCTTCTCCACGTCGAGAGGAACCAGTTGAGGTGGCTCGGGCATCTGTTCAGGATGCCTCCTGGACGCCTTCCTGGGGAGGTGTTCCGGGCACGTCCCACCGGGAGGAGGCCCCGGGGAAGACCCAGGACACGCTGGAGAGACTATGTCTCTCAGCTGGCCTGGGAACGCCTTGGGGTCCCTCCGGACGAGCTGGAGGAGGTGTGTGTGGATAGGGAAGTCTGGGCGTCTCTGCTTAGACTGCTGCCCCCGCGACCCGGCAACGGATAAAGCGGAAGAAAATGGATGGATGGATGGATGGATGTATTTTGCAAAAATAGAACCTTTAATCCTCACACCTTTTCAGTGACTGATGTGGGCCTGCTTCATGCTGCAGATCTAGTCAATTCTGGGTTGCAATTTTTCACGACCCCCACTTTGGGAACCACTGAACTAGCTGGAGCCAATTTCCTTATAAGGGCATTTGTGACTACGCTGTTAGCTTTGCGCAGTAACAGGGGCAAACTTCATTGCGGGTTCACATTCTAGTCAAAGCTCACACTTGTACACAGTAACCACAACCCATTTTGAGCTAAGTGTGAAAAAAGCCTTCTCGCATCTATTCAGAGACGCATGCATTTACACGCAACCTACACCTGATACAGCGGTTCACCAAAACACACATTATGGCCCTTAAACATGAGATTGAGACTATGTTCCTGTTTCTTCATATAATTTCTAACCAAATGATTTCAGTGCAAATAAGAAATTACATAGATTTGGTTTATTTGCAGTTGAGAAAAAAACTATGGAATCCTTCAATGTAGTGATAGACGTGGAAAATGCTGATACAAAACTAAGATGTACTGTAATTGAAGGACATGTTCACTGGAGAGTTTCACAAATCATTATAGAGGAAATCATTTTGTTTTTAAATAAGATGCAAAGAACGCCTCCGTCTTTCACTAGGGCCTCTGTCAGAAGCCATGGTCACCCAGAAGAGAGTTGATGATGGTTTTCAGTTATAAGGGAGGCATATTTTTGTTATTACTGAATCTACGCTTTAGTGTGTGTGTGTGTGTGTGTGTGTGGGCAGAAGTCTATAGTTTGTGGGTTTTTGAGTTTTTCTTTGCTGATGCAGGAGAGTCTAAGGACAGTGATGATTAACAAATAACCTTATGGACCAACGGCCTCTATGTCTTTGTTTAAATACTGTACTTCCTGTGTTAAATTATCTTCTGTCTCCGATCTGGCAATATTTGAGGGGAAACCAGAGCACCTGGAGGACACCTACGCCAACACAGAGAAAACATGCAAACTCCACTCCTTGGGAATTCGAACCTAGGACCTCCTTGTTGAGTAGCGAGAGTTCTACCATGCTGCCCCTGTTGTCAGAGGGTTCGAACCTCTAAAAACGCAAATGTATGTATTTTGTGCATTCATTTAACATATTCTGCATAATACTGTGTGTGCTCTTTAAATGTAGTGACTCACCCTGAAGGTTGAGGAGGCTCAGACTCCGCCCCGCCTCCTTCAGAGTCCCCAGGAGGCTGTAGAGGCCTGTGGAGCTGATGGACTGGTTCCCTGACAGATCCAGACTCACCAAGGCCGGACAAGAAGCCACACATCTGAGCAACAAATGGAAAGTCTTGTATTATTGTAGTTTATGCAACAGGAAATACATTTTGGTCTTGAGCGATGACAGTTGGAAATTTAGAAGGATTTTTCTTTTATTACAGCTGAATAATTGTAATTATTCTATAGATACAATCACCTGAATTGGCATTATAACTTAAAGCTGGGGCACCTTACTTTTTCATTAATAATAATAAGTCTTTGTCGTAAAATTAAATAGTTTTGAACAAATCGGATGCAGCCTCCAGTCCAACTTATCATCATCATTATTAACTGAGAGCTGATTGGCTGAGTGAGGAAGGTCCTGTCTTGTTCACTTCTCCTTCTGAAAAAGTGGATCTAAAGATGTGACAGAGGTAAAAAATACATGCATGTGAAAACTAGACAGAACTAATCTGTTGCATGCATTTAATAAAACATTACTTACATTACTTTTATTATTTTGTGGTTTTAAACATGGGTTCCCCAGCTTCAAAGCAACAGCACAAACAAATTGGGGGAATTTAAAATCAATGGATGGTTAAGTGGAATAGGTTTGAACTTAGGTCGAGGAAGCAAGTTAGTAATCAATAAACAGTGGCTTTTATTTGTAGGTTTCTTTGGTATTATGCCTCGCAAAAGTTTATTTACATATTCACTGTGTCATAACAATGGATACCAGTTGTAAGTGTGTCTGTGTGCGCTTATAAACTTACCCCATGTCTATGAGAACTGCCATGTTTTAAAACTAGTCACATGATCTATGCACACGTGATCCAGAGCCGGTGCCAGACCCAACAAGAATTGAGGACGATGTAGATTGAACAAAAATAGCATAAATGCCTTATTTTGATGTGTCAAATTCACAAACCTGGCCAGAGCGACCACACCGCTGTCCGTCAGTCCGTTGGATGCCAGGCTGAGGTGAGTCAGCGAACAATCTCCAAAAGTCTGTAAAAAATAAAAATAAATGACAATATAATAAAGCCATCACATTCCGAGCCCCAGGGAACAGTGTCGTCGACCAGACCAGACCTGGGACAGGACTTTGGAGAGTTGCTCCAGAGCGGGGTGATCGGCCGGACCGCTGCGCACCGCTGCCAGCTCCAGGTGCGTGAGGCTGTGGAGAGGGACGGTCTTCAACACCAGCTCAAAGCCAGTGGAGCCCAGTGCATTGTGGGAGAGGCACAGAGACTTCAGATGACCTGTGCCTGCAGATACAAAGATCCAAATGGAGTAATGCGGTTTTAATAATAAATAACAGTAATTATATTGACACATAATACTTATATAGCGCTGTTTTGACACTCAAAGATACTTTACAAAAGGGACAAAAACAAATGTTACGCTCATTCAACAGATGCAACAAATGTATGAATATTTAACTAAGGCATTGAAAATTAAGTCTGTAACAAGCAATCAATTCATCTAATGCCAAATCATTAATTGATTAGTAAGTACATTTATAAACATTTCCAGACATTAGTTATTCTGCTACGACCAATGGCCTCTATGGGTTTGTTGTTACCGAATTTCCTGTGTCGAACTGTTTGATTCTCCTATCTGTTGTTGGTGAATCAACAATTTTGTGATTTAGGACAATAAAAATATTGTTATTGGTACCAGATACTAAAGCCAGCTCATAAAGTAGAGTAAAGCAGAAAGAGGGCTATTGTATGTCCGAAAAGTATTACATTAGACATCAATTCTAGACACAGACACTTCTGAAGTGACAAATCCGTGGAATCTCTATTTACAACCGTGTGCTGGTGTTAAAACCACATCTCTCAACGCTGACATAATGCAATAGTAATTATAAAATAGTTGACAATTAATACATTAGAATGAATAATTAGAATAAACATCACTATTTTAGGTCTCTGTTCGCATGAAGGAGTATTAAAAGAGAAAACAGGTAAGTAATGTAAGCATGTAGTGGTTTTTAGGAGGTATAAAGTACAGTCCTTTAACAATTTTCCGGGTCTTGTAGATTCACCTGAGAGAGCCTGAGCCAGCAGGAGTCTGTGCTGCTGCAGGAAGCGTGCGGTCAGACCACAGGCCTGAAGGGACAACCTGACCAGCAGGGGGCAGCAGCTGAGCAGGCAGGACAGAGGCTCTGACACCCCGTCCCCAAGCAGGTTAAAGCTGAGGTCCAGCTCCTCCAGACACTGGGACACAAGGGACAGAGGTGAGGCCAAGAGAGAGAGGTGTGGGGAGACCTGGTGGTGCGTGGTTATGGAAACTACTCTAGGATCGAATAGAAAATTGTGGCCAGAATGTGCATGTTAACTCTAAATAAGTGTAAATCTTTGTAATGTATGAAATATTTGCAACTTGAAACTTGTAAAATGACTGCTAGTGGAGGACAGTAGTAGTTTTGTAAATGGGGATTATCAAGACCTTCATTAAAATGGAAATGTGACAATACATTATTTTTTGTCATATCAGTAATTTTGTGTTTAAGTATTTGAAAAAGATCAAATCAATCAAAATTAATCAATCAAATCTTTGACAAAAAAAAACATCTTTGTCACATCAGTAATTTGGTTATTTATTAGAACAAAATCAAATCACAGAAATAATATGGAAAAATTGTGTTCTGTTCATTTTCTGTGTGTGTGTTTGTGTCATATTCACCGGAAAGGCGGGGTGACTGTGGCCCTTGAGCGCGGCGACGGCCTTCTCCAGCCCCTCCCCTGTGATGTGATTGGCTGAGACGTCCAGCAGCCGCAGCCGGGGCATGGTGACGGCGGTGGCCACGAGCTCGGGCAGCAGGAGGTCGTGGAGCCGGTTACCGGAGAGACGCAGCTCCGTGAGGCTGGACTGCAGTTTGAGGGCCCTCAGCAGCGGAGTGAGGGAGGAGGGGGCCAGGCCGAGACCACACACCGACAAACAGGAGGCTCCGTCCTGCACCTCGCACAGACGCCGCACACGCACGTCCTCCTCTACGCCAACACAAACACAGGGGATTTAAAGCTGGGGTACCTAACTTTACATCTGCTCCGTGGCCTCGCACCAAAGTACATGTTTTCTATGAGGATGAGCATGTTGTGGGCTATTGTTACAAGATAGATACTTTATTGATCCTCAGAGGAATTCAGGTTATTAAAAATGTATAATCCCAGAGTCTTTCCCCGTGACAATAAAACTATTTTTTTGTCATATTAGTTATTTGATATGAAAAAACAGAAATATCAAATGAGAAAAAGATGAATAAATATCGTAATGTAGGTGCTCCTAATAGTCCATAAAGTATAGTAATTGTTTTAGCTTACCCACTACCAGACTCTGACAGGCCTTTTTATAGCGCTCTGGAAGAGGAGGCAGATCCCAGGAGCAAACCTCAGCCAGCACCTGCAACAGACTCACATTAAAGGACCACTACACACCAGTGCCCAGCGACTACCACAGGCACAGAGCGACGGCCAACGGAGAGGCTAGGCACCAAATTCAAATGTGGTGTAGAGGGCGCCACACAGACGGTTTTAGGCTCAGAAGTGAGATTTTATCTAATTTATCTAATTTGCAGTATAATGTCTAACAAATGACCAGGACATGTTGAGAGCAGTATAGGAACCACATTTATGCACCTTACAAGTAAAGTAGATTTGGTGTTTACTGACAATAACGACAAAAACTCACTGTTTCCTGTCCTCACCTCCTCGTTGGTGTGCAGCACGGCCAGCAGGGGGTCGTGTGGGCAGAGCAGAGCGCCCTCTTTCTGCAGCTGCAGGCGTGGCAGGAGGCCGCACTTGTGGTAAAAGCGCTGAGCCGCTTGTTCGCAGAGCCAGGCCACTGTGCACGACTCTGCCTCACTGAAGGGAACAGGCGCGATTATAACAACAAATAATCTCTGTGGACGAGATGTATTCAACGCGTGGACGGACCTTTGAGGGACTGGGATGAGAAAGACGTCCTCCTGCACTCGGACCCTCATTCTGATCGGTGGGGGTAGAGGAGTGGCCATGGAGTGGGTCGGAGGCTATACAATACATATTAATATGAACAAAATGTAAATTAGGTTAAAATAATAATAGTAAAAAAATAAAAAAAGTCTATAAACATCTTTAAATTACATTAAGATTTTTATTACTAATTATATATGTACGGATGAGCATTGTCCGTATATGACTTTAATGTGGGAATCATTAAATTTCTATTGCCCGGATTTTTTGTATTTAGCGCTTGGTTCCGACTTTGTTTCCACCTCCACATGCTGCCTTTTTCTCCGTGTCTGCAAATGTTTCCTCCGGGTGCTCCAGTTTCCCGTACCGCTAAAAACATGCGCAATATCTGAATGTAATGTGTGAGAGGAGGGTTTGATGCCTCGCTTCTGTCATCACTGTGTGTGGAGTGTATGGAAATATCCGCACTCCAGAAGCATGGTAAAGCGCTTTGTGTGACCTTGGTCTGTGAAAAGCGCTAGATAAATAAATATTTAGACTCAAATATTTATAATTATTGATATTGATTTTTTAAACACGTGCGACTGAAATGATTTTGTATTTATTTATACAATTAATCTTCAATAAATTAAACATAAATGCCCCAATAATAGTGTTTTTGTTCAAATGGGAGGCTGCATTTCAGATTTAAATGAGAGACAGGTTTCTACTTTGACAGTGTGGTTGAAAACAGTTCTGCGTCCAACTGAAGGATTGTATCTTCACTCTTTTGAATGTACTGTGGTTATTTATGATTTTGTACGATTATGTTTTTCTTGTTAACCTTGTATATCAACTGAGCTACACGAAAAATCTTGCCTTGTCTTGAACAGTATCTGATGGAAATATATCACATCAAATTCAAGTTGCCGAATTATGAGGCAAGTATCTCAAACTCTACATGAGCTACCCAGCCGTAAGGAATATGGTTTTAATCTTCCATATTCACCTGTGAGTACATGTGAGGATGAGGAGGATGAGGGGGAGGGGGGGTCAAGGCTCTCAGGTCCTCTTCATCAGTGACATTGGGACTGGGGCAGCGGCTCACCTCTCTGCGCCCCAGTCTCATCATCCCAGGCATCTGTGTCATCTTCACCTGCTGTGGCCTCACAGAACTGCTCTTCTTCACAGAGAGACCCCTGCTGGAGGAGGGCAGTACTGCAACCACACAAAAACACCACAATGATGTTTTAAAACTATAGTAGGGGTCGAGAAAAACAGTAATTGTAGTAACAGTCAGACTGTACAATGAGAACCGCCGAGCCTGTATATGTAATTCCTCGGTAAATATGTAAATACAGCCATCATGTGCAATACTACAATCATTGCAACTTTTTCTTCTTGATTTATCCTGTCCTATATGTTTATAATTTACGCTATACGTTTACGTGGATATATTGATACATCTGCTGCTCTTAAGAAGCTTTTACCACTACTTATCGGTGTATATTTTGAGTGCAACAATTGTGTGGATTTTAGTTTCTCCAGGCCGATTTAGGAAGGTCAAAGGACAGGCGTGATGATCATGGAAACTTGACACTTTGACACAGCCATTACGGACATTGGTCATCTGCCCCTTATAGTTAGTAAGTAAGTAAGTAAGTAAGTAATCTTTATTTATATACCGCCTTTCACAGACCAGAGTCACAAAGCGGTTTACCTCTCACTCCACACAGAGATGGGAGTGGGGTCGCCAGTACAGGAGGCGCATGCCAGAACTATTGGACATGTTTTTAGTGGTAGGGGAAACCGGAGTACCCGGAGGAAACCGGAGTACCCGGAGGAAACCTACGCAGACACGGGGAGAACATGCAAACTCCACTCAGAAAGGCCCTGGTCCGACCGGGATTTGAACCCAGGACCTTCTTGCTTGTTCATAGACATAGGAGAACTCAAACTGCAAGATGTGATTACATTTAAAACTGCTTAAATAGTGTTCCGGGCATCTGAAAACTCTCTGCCATCTGAGTTACAGAACCTTTTCCATGATCGAGAAGCTCATCATTATTATAGACATAGAGGCAGTAAAAAAGTGTGTGCGCCTAAATGTAGGACTACTTTAAAGTAGTACTAGAATTTAATATGCTGACTTTCCAGAATATATAACTACAATATGTGTCTATAATATTTCGGGTGTTCATTTTGACACGGCTTTAAAGTCGCACCTTTTCTCAAACGCTAGGGGGCGCCAAACTGGCAGCGATGACGTAGGAGAATGACCTCTCACAGCAGCAGCAGTCTGGGCTGGAATCTGTAGGAGGTTTCACTGTCATCTGAACAAGGTATAAACATATTTTCTGTTTTGTACATAATAGTGTGCAACTCTTTTAACCTTTTAGCCTTATTTGTGAGATTCAAGCTAATTAGTGTTGGGCAAGTTAGCTAACTCTACTTGATATCATAAACATGCTTACAAGGATAATATTCGTTTTTACATTATGCCAGGCTCACTTTGGTTACCTTAGATTTATTTACCACAATGTACATTGTAATATTCAAACCTATTAACGGTTTAATTAGCATTAAGTAAAATATGTATTTAATTAAAGTTATTTTGATTAGCATTTTTGAATATTACAATGTACATTGTGGTAAATAAATCTAAGGTAACCAAAGTGAGACTGGCATAATGTAAAAACGAATATTAGCCATTTTAAGCATGTTTATGATATCAAGTAGAGTTAGCCAACTTGCTCAACACTAATTAGCTTGAATCTCACAAATAAGGCTAAAAGGTTAAAAGAGTTGCACACTATTATGTACAAAACTGATGAAAATATGTTTATACCTTGTTCAGATGACAGTGAAACCTCCTACAGTTTCCAGCTAAGACTGCTGTCTGCTGCTGTGAGAGGTCATTCTCCTACGTCATCGCTGCCATTTCGGCGCCCCCTAGCGTTTCTATGCGGAAGTGAAAAGGTGCCACTTCAAAGCAGTTTTTTTAACATAATTTATCTGAACATTTCAAAATGAACACCCGAAATATTACAAACACATATTGAAGTTATATATTCTGGATAGTAGCATATTAAATTCTAGTACTACTGTAAAATCAATGTGTGATTTATCAGATGAATTAAAGAACTGCTCAAACCTGATCACATTTAAGATATGTTGAAAAAATATGTGGAAGTAAGAGTGTGATGCCTTGAGCACGGAGCAAGTAGTGGGGGAGCGGTGTAGGGTCGGAGAGTGTTTGGGCCTGTGTGTTGTCACAGTGAGTGTGTTTAGTGTTGTCTGTCTTATACCATCGGTGGCAGTATTGTATAACGATTTGTAATGTCCCGTTGTATGTTTGAGAATTCTTCTGCATGATATTGTTAAAACACTTTGAGTTGCTTCATCCAACTCCTTTTCAAACCAGGTACGGGTTATTTGTCTGTTATATTGATAAATGTAAAAAATACTGTATGTATTGTGCAGATTCTAAATAAATAAAATAAATAAAAACATAACTACTCTTGTGATTTAGAGCTATATAAAAATACATTGAATTGAGTGTGCTCTTACTACTGTATGCATGCTGTGACATCAACATTTCCCCACTGTGGGTTGAATAAAGGTTCTCTTATCTTGTATACAGCAGGTATACAGCAGGTAACATTCAGCTCTAGAGTGGCCTCACCTCTGCTGCTGGGCTCCGAGTGTCTGCTGTGACTTCTGCTGCTGGAGACATTGCTCTCGGCTCTCACTCCGTTCTGTTCCACAAGAATCCTCCTCTTCTTCTTTGGTTGAATGTCCCCCACGTCATCCTCCAGCCAGTCGTCTGCCACATACTCCTCCTCAGGAACCAGAGCAGACCTATTGCTGGACTGGGCAGGACCGCTGGAGATCTGAGAAGACCCATGCAATCTGGATTTGGCACTGCCCAGGCTGCGGATGGCACTGTGGTACTCCTCTCGCTCGAAAACAGAGGGGGCGGGGCTGTCTCTGTGACTCTCTCTGGGGTTGTCTCTGGGGCTGTCTCTGTGACTCTCTCTGGGGTTGTCTCTGGGACTGTCTCTGTAACTCTCTCTGGGGTTGTCTCTGGGACTGTCTCTGTAAGCCTCTCTGGGACTCTCTCTGGGGTCATCTCTGGGGTCGTCTCTGGGACTGTCCAGGGTTAGGGCTGGTTGGGACAGGAGCTCATTGTGCTTTTGAGGAGTTTCCTTCAGACTGGGAGCGGTTGTGGTTCCGTTGTGCCGAGGCCGCACCGGGCGCAGGGGGCTCGGTGGCACGTCTGCATCGCTGTCGTCTGAAGATCCGCCGCTCGTCTGCAACAGAGACAAGTTTGGACCTGCTAGATTAGAACAAGCCCAGAGGAAGAAAACTTTGAAAACGACAATAGATTTGCCTGTATATTAGGGGTACACCAATAAAATACTTTCCTAATAATATCTATGAAGGCATTACGCAATAACCTCTTTATCAGTAATCTTTATCTTTATAGCACATTTCACAGACCAGGGTCACACAAAGCACATTACAATGTTTTGGAGGTCTAATATTTCCATACAAACTCCACACAGAAAGGTCCTGTGTCTGGAGGACAAGCGCGAGCGCTAACCACAGCGCCCACACCACAATCTTTAGTTGTTGGCTGATGTAAAAAACAAAACTGTCAAACTTTCATAAAAAAGACTGCACCTCAGTTGACCTGTAGCGTGGACACACATGTAGTGGGATCATTATTCTGCAGAATCTCTTTGAGAGTAAAGACAAAAGACGACCACGTCCACCCTCACACACCATTTAGGACGTCTTAGTCTGCTTTTTGGCAAAATGACCATTTTAAGATTATTACCCCATAGAGAAGCAGAGCATCTGTGCCTCTGGCCCGATGCCTGTGCAGAGAGCCACTGTACACTGGTTTAGGGACGGCTGCAGCAGATCCCTGTGTGGCCCTGGAGCTGGGGGCCCGCTCCTGTGAGGCCCTGGAGCTGGGGGGCCACTGCGGGCTGGAGGTGAGGGGCTCCGAGTTCTCCGCATCAAACAGTTGGCTGTCCTGCAGAGCATCTAGAGGCTTGGCAGGAGCAGAAGCAGGAGTCACTGTGGAAGAATATGACACTCTTGGTTTGAAAACCACATTAACAAAGTTCACATTAATCATGAAAGGAATGATATTCACTGAACAATAGGTTTGTGTTCTGCATCCCTCTATCTGTGTGTGAGGATTTATATTCCAGCGAGGGGCTCTTACCTAGTCCTGCCAGAGCCTTCCTCACCAGTCTCTCTGTGGCCGCACACTCCTGCTTGGTCTCTCGGTCCAGCTCCCGTCTGTACGTCCTCTGCCAGTGGCACAGCGTGTCCATCGCACACTCTCCCTTTGAAGACAAAACCATTGTTTTTTTTCTCTTGTTTTGGGCCGTTGTTCTTTTATGCTCTACCTTTGAGTTGCGTAAAGAGACAGACGCTCCTTTCTCTATTAGGAGTCGGGCCACGGCCAAGTTTCCACACGCCAGTGCATCATGTAGAGGAGTCACGCCCTCACACAAGGGGCCCCCAGGGTCATTGACATAGGCCCCGCGATCCAGCAGCATTGCTACCACCTCTGCACAATACAGTCCAACTGAACAAACTGATGCACTGACAAATAAAGATTTTTAAATCACAATATCTGTTACCATAGTGACCGTGGTTAGACGCCTCATGCAGGGGGGTCCAGCCGCAGTAGTCTCTGGGGTTCACTGGATGACCCTGGCAACACACAATGAGTGAGAAACAATTACCTTAATATTGGGCCTCATTCACGAATAACTTCGTAAGAAACTACTCAACTTTCTTCTCAAGTTGTCCTAAAGTAGATTTCTAAGAAGTCCCCACGTGGGATTCATCAACGCACTCGTAAGGCGCTGAATTGTTCGCAGCTGTTCTCTCAGATTGATGAATCCCATTTCCTCGCAAGTACAGCGCGCGTGCCAGGTGCTTCATTAGCATAGGTACTTAGCATAAGTAACCGCCCACTAATGCCCATATAAGGGACTGCAGGGCCGTGTGCAGACGGCAGAGGAAACAGCAACAGGCCTAAAGCAACAGGCCACGGAGCAAAAGAGTCACCCTTTTTTCTTCTTTTACCAGACTGAGAATAAAGTTATAAAATGTTGACTTAAAAGTCGAAATATTATGATAATAAAGTCGAACTAGCAAAATTATGAGATTAATCTAAGAATATGATGAGATTAATCTCAAAAATGTTATGAGCTTAATTTAAAAATATATTATGTATTATTTTAAAGATGAATCTCAATATGTTTTGAGATTAATCTCAAAATATTTTGGACCCTGGGAGGAGATCCAGCGCGGACCAGCGCTGAGACCAATGCAGACCCGAGGAGAGACTGGAGTGACCAGCACACAGAAACCAGCGCGGACCAACAGTATAGGAGAGACCGCATAGACTGTAGTGACCTGACTGGAGAGACCGGTGCGCAGAGACCAGCGCGGACCGAAGATAGACCGCATAAACCAGACTTGAGAGACCAGCGCGGACCCGTATGGATCCAGGAGCATGCAGCACGGACCCGTATGGAGAGAGACCAGTGCAGACCCGTATATGGGAGAGACCAGTGCAGACCAGTATAGATCCATGGGAGAGACCAGTGCAGACCCGTATAGATCCATAGGAGAGACCAGCGCAGAGACTCAGCGCGGACCCATAACCTCCTGCAGCAGCAGTATATATGCCGTTGTTCTGTGGCCCGTGGATAAAGAAATGCCCCCTATAAATAGGAAGGGGTCACTAATACACGGCAAGATTTCCAATGTATTTGATAAAGCGTTGGCACATTTCATTTCAAAATGAATTAAAAAGTAGGCCAGATCTGCAGTGAAAAAGGCGGTATATAAATAAAGATTACTAATAAAGATTACTACAAATAAATAAATACATACATCGATATGACGGACATATCACTGGAATGTTGTATTTTTATTCAACTTCACCAAAGAGGACAACCCCGGCGTGTGAACATGTCGGCACTGAATGCGTACGAGTGCTCCTGAGGACTCGTAGGATTTGTACTTGCCCAAGAGAAATTCTGGTTACGAGAAATATTCGTGAATGCCACTTTCTTCGTAAAAACCGCGTAAGTAGGATTTACGTACAAATCTGTTCCTAAGAACCGTTCGTGAATGAGGCCCATTGTTTCCTAGGTTTTAATTTCCATCTCAAAATTACAAATTTCATTCATAAAAGTTTTTCCCGATCCAATCATTTTGATTGTATCAATAAAATAAATACATATATACATATTTGATACAAATTTGTTTAGTGGGTTAAAAAAAAAACATCTACAAATATATGTGTTTGTATAAAACACTCCCATGTGAGATCAACAATGTCCTATCTTATCTTATCAGATAATTCATTGAAGTAGTAAAAAGAAAACGTTAGTATTAATCAATTAATGATTGTTGCTGCCCTAATATTTAATAGTAATAATAATAATAATAATATTATACTGATAATAATAATAATTTGAAGGACTTTATCACCTGGTCGATGAGGTACTGGACCTGCTTCAGGTTCCCGTCGATACAGGCTCGATGCAGAGAAGTCTCTCCTTTCTCATTGCGCTTGTTCCACTAAAGCAGAGAACAGTTACAATCTACACACTACTGTGTGTCCAACTCAGACATAAAACTTGAACTCACTCGACCAGACTTTCTCTTCCCCGTCACCATCTTGTCATAACCCTCCAGATCGTCCTCTGAAACAATCACAGAAGAGAGGGTTCTTTTAGGAACAAGCATGTAGTATGTGCTGTTAGTAGAGTGTAGTAATGTTTACTACTACTACCCTGTACTGAGTGTAGTAGTGTGACTAGTGTGTAGTAGTGCGAGTACTATGTAGTACTGTGTAGCAGTTTTAGTAGTGTAGTAGTGTGACTAGTGTGTAGTAGTGCGAGTACTGTGTAGTACTGTGTAGCAGTTTTAGTAGTGTAGTTGTGTTAGTAGTGTGCAGTGCTGTGACTACCAGAGTCAGAAAGGTTGATGTCGCTGTCCTCCAGAGCCTCGCTGTTGTCCATCTCTTCCTCCTCCTCCTCCTCCTCTCCCTCACTGTGGTGTGGGCTCCAGCCCTCGGCTGCACACAGCTCCTGCAGCTGCGCCTCTGTCTCTGCACTGAGCGCAGAACCAGTGCGCTGCTGGTACGACAACCACCGCCTCAACACTCGCTTCTGTGGGGACAATGTGGGAAACAAAATGATGCTTTAAATGAATATAGTGCATCTCTTAATATAAATAAATGCCACACTATAAACTCCAAGGAGGCATAGTGGTTTGTACATTTTTCATCGGGACGGAGGAAGTTTGTAAGTGTCATGTGGCAAATGCAGAGGTTATAGTCTGACCTGAAGTCTGGCCTGTCCGGCCTTCTGCGCACACTCCAAGGCTTTAGTGAAACTGTGGTCTACATCAGTGTGGTCACAGCCGCCCTCCTCCTGAACCCCTGCAATGTTCTGCCATGTGCTGCATTCCTGGAACAAGTACAATCAAATTTCACATGTGAAACAGTTTGGTCAAAGAAACTGATAGATTTTTGGGCCTATAAAGTCTGTACCTCTGAGGAGCAGCCTGACCTCAGCTGCAGCTCCAGTCTGTAATGCTCCACTGCTTTATTGTACTGTTTCAGGTCTGTGTAGGTCGCAGCCAGCGACACATGGATCACAGCCAGCTCTCGACCAGGCTTCCCCATTGCCTCGGCACCAGCCAACTAAACATTTAACAAACAAAATATAGAAAAATGTTTTACTATATACACACCAAAACACAAGGTAGGGCTGGGCGATCAGAAAAAACATTTTAAATCATAATATTATGGGAACATTTCCTGTTCATATCATATATTTTTTGTTATATATTTTACATATAGCGAGGAAAAACTTAATACAAAAATATAACTTGTTCCCAACTCAATCACTAGTTTTCACATAAAGGACCACCCTCACTCAGCCAAACAGCTCCTTGTAAAAGATCAAATATTTCAATTAACATAAATAAAGCCTGTTGTTGGAATTGTTCACAAAATGTTTCTTTACAAAACGCTTTCTGTTGGGAAAAAAAAAAGTATTTATAAAACCAATTTTTTTTTAGATGCACCAGCTAAATAGCAGCTACTGTCAAGTGACTGTTTTAAGTTTGTGGTGAGCGGTTTTACCATAAAATAACTGCAGACTCTCAATAGATGCTGGAAAGGCTGTCACCATCAACACATTATTCGGAGCCGTAACTGTGGTTGAGATTAGGAGATCGTTTATATGTCCCACAATGGGGAAATTTCAACATCATCATCACCAGTTACAGATGGAATGAGGAGCACACTGCACAAGATAAATGATGAACAATAATTCTATCCTAAAATAAAATATTTAACTGTAGCATGTTAATGAAAGCAGGTACAAAATCACAAGCTTTAACGTACTATGAGAGTTCATCTAAAATCTCCAAATTTGCAGTTGTTTTTTGGAACGCAGCTGCTATTTCTGCACGCACTGGGACAAAAGGTAAATAAACAACTCCAGTGCGCATATAAAACAAATGCTAACGCTGTATTTAAGTCTCATACGATCCTTCAAAACCATATCCGTATTACCATCTGCCTCTGAACAGTATTATATCACCCAAAACTTCTAGAGGGAACAAATATGGAAGAATGAATTGTTTTTACTTGAGCCTGATAGGCATCCAAGGCTTTACTGTAACAGCCCACTTTACAGTAGAGATCTCCCAACTGCTCGGCGACTTCCACAGCTTGATGAGGGCTGAGTCTTCCGCCCTGGTCTTCCCCCAACTCCTCCTCTAGTTTACACCCCCGATCCGCTGCAATATCACAACATGAGACACATGCATCAGAGAGCATTTCAATTCAATTCATTTTTGTAAAGCCTTATATCACAACAGCAGTCATCTCGAAGGACTTTACAAAACCATCAATTCGCCAACACAGATTAATCAATAAATGCAATGATAAAAAACACACTTCTCACTGTCCCCACGTTCAAAATGGCCACTGGGGGCTAGAGCATTCAGCCAACTCTGGAACCCGCTACTGCTGGACTTGCAAAAGTTGGACCCATCTAAAACAGTACCACTTTTAAATTGGCTTATTCTTTGTAATACTTCAAATGCATTCCAATTTGTATTTTATATATTGTGTGTGTTGTTTTTAATCTATTGTTTTTGGGTGTCTTGAAAAGGTGCCTTGAAATCAATTGAATTATAATTATTGCATAGAGCCATCGGTTCATAAGGGGCAGATGACCAATGTCCATGAATGTACAGTAGATAAAGTCCATAAATGTTGTTGAATGTCTGTGTCCTGGATCATCACCTTCAGATTCATTTATTTGCAGTAAAACCACATTGGAAAAACTGTGCAAGACTACCCCCGTGTGCACCGTTTTTTTTTTCAGATTCTTTACCGCATTGTAGGTAGTAAACTCTTACCATATCTGAATGCTTTCTTCACTGCCTGCTTGTCAGTAGAATGCTGGGATCCCAACTGTAGAGCTTTCTTTAGAGAGCGTCTGGCAGCTACAAAATCCCCAAGAGAAAGCTGCACCTGTGTCGAAATGAAAAACCATGAGAAAAGAACATCCACTTATGAGCTTCGTTTGGGGCTGAACTCAAACCTTGCCGACGCAATGAAAACACTCGCTTTCACTGAACTTGTCTTTGATTTTTCTGGCACATTCTTTGGCCTGCTCCAGGCAGCGCACTGCGTTTGAGGCTTGACCATTGCGGAAGTAAATATTTCCCAGGTTAAAGTTGGCTCGATAGAGGTCTTCCAGCAGCTGGCTCTTCCTGCACAGGAGTAGGCACACAATAGTAAGAACACTGCTGCCACTTTGTCAGATATCATTATCAGTTTTTTTATAGAAGTATATCACCAAATTTAAAATATTCATGATATAGATACAATTAATTTATTTGTTAAATCTTTAAAATCAGCACATAGGTCTATATGAACCAATTAAATAAGAGACTACAAAAACATGGACAAACAGGAAAACATAAAACGTGTGTGTATAGAAGTAAAAAAAAAAAATAATAATTATAATAAAATATGCTCACTACTTTTGTACCTTATTTAATTGTTTCATTTTTATTTATTTAACTTTAACATATTGTTTTTTTTACATTATTGTATTTTATTTGTTTTTATATGATTGTTATGTTTTGATCCATCTGAACAAAGCTACCTCTCTTCCATGTTATTTGTGTCTTACTGTTTATAAATGCTTGCTTATTCACAGGACCTTTGACCTCTGTATGCATGTCTGTATTGAGTATGGGAGAATATCTTACTCTGCGATGAAAACACTGCGCCTTATAAATTCACTGCAGCGTTTGGGCTCCCCCAGATGATCGCAAACCAGACCGAGATTGAGAAATAGCCGAGCTTTCATCTCACAGATCTCCCGCTCTGGCACCATCCCTATGACAACAGCAGGAGACCAATGAGTAGAGAACCACAGGCAGATCCTCAAGTCCTGGAAATAGAGGCGGACCTTCAAGGCGCTCGTTCACGATAGACAGGCTCTTCTTAAAAGCATCCTCAGCTTGTTCCAAACTGCTTCTTGATTGGTCGGACTCGTATCGGAATAAGTACGTGCGGCCGATAGTGGCGAGGGCTCTTTGTTCTTCTGCATGATCGGAGACAGAGCGAGCCAGATCCAAGTGACGCCTCTGACACTGACCAGAAAAATATGCATTAAACAGGAGTGAGTTTATTTATTTTATTTACTGTATTTAATTTTGGAAACTAGCTATTTAGTTATAATCTGGTGCAGAACATATTTGTCTTCAAGCTTAATGTCTCTGTACATTGTCCCGTCAAATAAAGAAAGACTAAACTATTTACTGACCCTCACACTATCATTTTGACTCGCTCGGGTCCATGGCTCCTTTGAAGGCTGGGCCAACAGGGATCTAAATGATCCAGGGCTGGTTAAGATAGGGAAAAGTCATCAAAATTCAGCTTTAAAAAAATAATTTGAGGGTTTTTTTGTCTACTTGAATAACTGGGGCGGATCATGTTGACCCAAAGATCATTTTAAGGTCAAGATACACTTTATTTATCCCCATAGGGAAATTTGACAGGTGGAGAACATAAAAACTCCATGTTCTTTGTTTCAACCAGGATTCAAACCCAGGAACTTGTTGAGAAGCGAGTTGTCCTTAACTTAAACCAGAACGAATCTAAAGGCCACTTTAGGCGTTTGTCAAGTTGGCTTTACACAGTGAAGCTAAAACAAAATGTCAAAAAAGTGCACTTTAGGCAGTTTATTTTCCAAGCAAATGGCAAACATGCAATCCGCAGACTCTCCTGGATGCTGGTAAAGAAAATTAAAAAAAAAATAAACATACACCCTTCCACCATAGCCGTTTTTAACCCAGTGACCAAATAAACTGAAATAAACAATAATACATTCAAAAAGATCTTAAACAACATAAATTAGCAAAATATTCTAAGAACAAAAGTATAAAGGGTTTTTTTGACTTACTTTCAGAGCAGCCTCAATATTTCCCAGCTCCGCATAGCACTCTCCAATTTTACGATTAGCGACTGCTCGACCGATTACGTCATTGAGGACCTCGGACAGAGACAGCTCCTGTTGGTGCTCCTGGATAGCAGCCTCATAATCACCTATGACACAGCAGTGATCAAAAAAGAATGAATGGTTGTGTGACTTTATAATGAAAGTTAAAGGAAAAGCTGCGTATACTATGGCTGAAAGATTTCAGATATTGCAAAATTGATATAACGACAGGTTCTGTAACTACCTTAATTCATAATACAAAAGAGTGACGTGTCATTGAAAATATATTGGAATTTTAATGGAAAATCTATAGTTTATTTTCTTGCTTTTTAAAAAATATCTTTTACAATATCTATACAATATCTTTTAACCAGAGTATACTGTACTAAAATATTCATAATATGGATCATAAAAATCTAATTTAATTCATTCAATAATTTACAATCTACAATATAAATATTTAGTAATCACATAAACGTTATTTTCATCCCTATGTACAAAACTTATTCCTTGATACAGATGTGTGTAGCTTTTGTATCGTACTTTTTCACGTTTCTGTTCTAGATTGTCTTTATTATCAATAAATGTGTGAGGGGTTTCAATTACATGATTGTTTTGGAGTATAATAATTTATGGATTGATCCGCACGCACACGCTCAGTTAAAATGCAATTCAATTAATCCAAGAGTAATTCAAACACACTATTCTTACCATTTTTAGACAACAGTTCTCCCAGCTGATTACATATGCTCGCTTCTTCTCTGAGGTTCCTATTGTTCTGGGCCTTACTCTTTGCCTTCTGCAGCTCTGTAGGAAAAATCACGTTTGTCTGAGTGAGTGGCTTTGTGACATCTGTTAAATAATGACTCAGTACTCACGTTTTATTTCTCGAGCAGCACTCATCTCGTCACGATTTGAAGTAATAGTAAACAATAAGACAAGACGTGGATGCACCTTCCACTTCCAGCACCACAGCGCAGTGAGATCCTAGCTTGGTGAATGCTAACATGTAACTTTACCAACATGTCTTACACGTTTTTGATACCGAACCCCTTCTGATGCCTCTAATGCCAGTCGTATAAGTGAAATGTCTGATCAGACATCTGTGCCAATGTATTACCAAACTGAAAGCGATGATCTGTTATCCGTAAACTTCACAAATCCCCGCCAGTGCCGCGGAAACCAATGGCTGCAGCGTCAGTTCTCACGCATTTTTTTCCCTGAGTTTGATATTTTAGGCAGGGACAACTATTGTATCTGTTAAACATACCCGACAAAAGTTACAAATACAAATTATTGTACATTGTAATTATTTATTGATTCAGAATACAAATGTTTCTCTGTATTTTCCGAATGTATTTGTTTATTTTTTGTATAAAGCCTGACAGTCAAAAAGTAGAGTAAAACTTGAGCTGATTCCTTCAAACCATATCCGGCTATGTGTAAGATTTGGTAAAACATTTAATATTTTTTTTCTCCTTTGGAAGTTTTTGCAACCGAAATAACCGCATAAAGCCATACAAAAATCAGTATTTAAAGGAAGAATAGTAACGGTAAAATCCCTCATGGTAACACATGATGATCAGTTTTATGCACAGTTAAACATAACTGTTTTACTGTTATTTGTGTCCCTTGTGTTATTAACCTAGATTTGAACATTATTGTAGGCTTAGTTGTTATTATTATTACATAATGATGATTGTCTTATTATTTTGTATTTGTATTTAGTTTATGATTTTAATAATAATATGGCGCTTTTTGGACACTCAAAGACGTGGTGATAAACTACGACTGTAGCCACAACTGTCCTGGGGCAGAATGTGATAGAAGTGAGGCAATCAGTATCTGCCAGCGGCCTCTCTCACTCCCGCAAAGCCGTGACAGATTTTGGTTTTTTTAACTGTCATCTGATGACAATCCATCCATCCATTTTCTTCCCCTTAATCCATTTCTGGGTTAGGGGGTGGCAGTCAGAGCTGCACCCAGTTCACAGAGCACCAGCCCCTCACTGATCCTCCTGCAGGTGGTGAGTCCACAGGAGCCATAAGTGTCTTGCCCAAGGACATAACGGCAGCAGTCATCAGTGGGAGTCGTGAAGTAGGTCTCCTGGTGGGCCGGAACCCACGACCTTCAGGCTCTAAGGGCAATGCTCTACCAACTGAGCCACTGTTGCCAGTGTCGTTCAGCTCGAGAAATAAAACGTGAGTACTGAGTCATTATTTAACCGATGTCACAAAGCCACTCACTCAGACAAACGTGATTTTTCCTACAGAGCTACAGAAGGCAAAGAGCAAGGCCCAGAACAATAGGAACCTCAGAGAAGAAGCGAGCATATGTAATCAGCTGGGAGAACTGTTGTCTAAAAATGGTAATTGATGACAATAAATACCTACTTATCATGTGAAATAATACATATGTCGTTTAGGGAAATAATGTTGTGCCAAGCATGTGCCAAGCCCATCCAGATGAGCTGGTTTGTGCGCTACAAATAAAAAAGAATAGCAACCAAAAAATATTGTACCTCATCAAATAGTAATATCGATGAGGTTCAAACGCAAGGGTAACAATTTGTAAAAGGTCATATAGTCTTCATTAGGTGACCATAGGACATTTGGATCATATTGTGGTCCAAAAGAAAAAGAAAAACAAATGACATAACGACAACTAAAATGGCTAAAATTGTCATCTATACATTCTACAATCTACATTTTCACTGCACAATGCTCTTGTTTTTTGGCGGATGCTGATCTGCATCACTTCATTCTTTATTTTGAGCGAAAAGGTAATGTTATTTTATAATCATTTCTGTGTGAGCTGGATCGGTCTTTTGTCTTTCTGTATGTTTTGCATTATTCCATTAACTATAAGGTTAATATTGAAGGCTGAGAGTCTCAAAACAAAAGGCCTGATGCAAGGTAGAACGCAAAAGCCATAAGCAGCAGATGGGCTTGCAGCAGAAAAGTTCATAGTGGTTTTAAATTGGATTCAAACACAGCCAGACATTGCTTTCATATTTTAAAATTTGTGTCACTGAGCTAACCCAAATTGATGGCCATATAATCCAACTCTTGAGCCCAAAATATCAAGGTCGGCACGTGCAGCGGTGATGTCAGCAGGCTAAGCTGAGCTATGTTGCTTTGTTCAGGAGTGAGGACGGATAACAACACAGCTGTTTTACCAATGACTCAACATGTGTAATAATACAACACTTTGGAGCAAGACAGCTAGGGAATTTCTGCTATTACAATTTAAGATTAACAATATGTAAACCTAATTCTTTCACATCATGTTTTTAAGAAAGGCAAGGCAGTTTTATAGCACAGTTCATACGAAAGGTGAATAAAACAAGATAGGATCAAAATTAAAATCACAAATTATCACAGTAGAAAGAAAATAAAGATTGTAGATACAATCCTTCAGTTCTATGCAGAGCTAAAGAGAACTTATTCCAACCTTAAATTTCAACGTTGTCAGAGTAGACCGTTCCAGATTATAGCTGCATGAATTTCAACCACTTCCCCTCATGTTTAGTCCTGACTCTGGGCACCGGCAGGAGGCCCTGTCCCTGTGCTCCTCGGAGTCGGAGTTGGTTAATGCGGCACATGTCAGAAATGTTCCTAATCAGGGCCAATTTTAAAATCTTGTATATAAACTTGTCATAGCTTGGTTGTGATTCACAAGTTCTCACTCATTTGCATTTGAGAGCCTGAATGTCTTAGAAAAGTGTAAAACTGCCCTCGTGTTCTTAGGCAAGACATATTGTCTATATGCTGTGTGTGTGTAAACTACTGCTACAGTAGTTTACTAACAATGTATGGGGTGAATGAATGACGCCATGTGAAGCGTTTTTAAGTGTCTGTATATATGTCTAGTGTCTAGGTCAGAATTGGGAAGATTTGAGAGCTTTGGTCCCTTATTCCGCGTGATACATATAACCCAGAATGATAAAGATGCTATAAACATCCTATAGGAACACAAATGAGGGCATCTTTGTCAGGATTGGCAGAATAACTCCTGTTACATGTGACAACACAGAGACTGCCTTCAGCTCCTCTATGCTCCATGTGCCAGCCTCCACCGCGCTGACCTTACAATTGCTGCATCACTGCGAGCTCGGGGAGCTATGGGCGGGAGCAGAGAGGAGCACATCACACATGCGAGCAGCAGAGGGTAGAGAGCTCAGAGGCAGCCACATCCGCCACTGGAAGGGATCAAATCTGGACCATCTGACGCTCAAGGATTTATGGCTTTAGTCAAAATTGCTTTTCCCACTGTGCAGATTAAGCACCGTAGGATGTTTTCCACTCAGGCCATGTAGAACAGTGCCAGTGGAGCTGCCTACTGCTTGTCTGTCTTTGCTCTTGCAGGCTCGCGTGGAGAGAGGAACAGAGGGGAATGTGCGAGGACACCGGAGCGTTCTGGGTTTTGGCGGGGAGTGACTTTTGACCACAGGGAGAGGCTCGTCCTCCTGGGTGAACAATGCAGGTGGATGCTGTGCTGGTGCTGCTGTGTGTTTGGTACCTCTCTGGGGCCACAGGGAAGATGACCCAGGCCAGGGGTCATAAACTGCAGACCTACAAACAGAGCAGGTACGAGTGATGTTGCATCTGCCGTTCATGTACAGGTGAAACTTGGTAAAGAGGAATATTGTTTGAAAGTTGAGCTATATCTGTTGTTCTACTTTGAAACCGATGTATGAAATAGATTCATTACATGCAAAGTGACATATTCCTTATACTTTTTATAAATATTCTAGTTTTCTGAAATTTCTGTGGGACGAACAAAGGACCTCTTAATCTTTCATTTTGGCCAATCATCTATAATAAATTATGTCTTGAAATATTTCACTTTGTGTGTAATGTTTCACAACATTACAATCGCATGGTAATGGACTTTTGAACAATGTTCTAATGATAAAAGATGATAAGGAATCCTAGCTCTCTAAAGTTATTGGCTTAACGTTTGAATGTCTCACTTTTGGACGCCAAGAAAACTGTTCAGGCTTCAACATTGAGGGATAATGACTGAATGCCACAGAATGTTTTAATATTCAATTAACTTATTCAATGAATGATGGATTGAGGACATTGTTTGGTTCAATAGGCCTCAAGTCTAATTTGTTACAAATAAGAAAGAAAGTTACAGACATAAACATAATTTCCCCTGTGACCTCAAAATGTATTATAGGTCCTTGTTAAACAAAGAAGTGGAAGACCAAATAGAACCATTGAAAATATGATTTATCTTTATATTGATTTATTTCAATCCTGTGTCTCTACATTTTAAAAAATTATAGAATAATACCAAAATACAATTTAAAACATCCCCTGACCCAGAAATTGATTAATTAAGGGGAAGATAATGAATTACTAAATGACAATTTAAAAGTAAAATCTGGCTCAGAAACCGTTTGTGTCACAATAAACATTTTGAAAGAAAAAAAAAAAAAGTGGTTTAGAACTGTCTATGAGGCTTTTATTTTTATATTGTGTTTGTAAATCCAGATTATAGTAATTTAAGGATTGACCAATCAGATGTCTTCATTCGGGAAGGAAACTCCTGCTTGCCTTAGCAACTGTCTTAGCAACAAATCTGCCCCTGATAGGGCACAAAGCTTCTTCCACATTCGGCAAACATTATGGTGACGTCAGCACTGAGTCAGTCCTAATGAACAGTCTATGAGGCCTTCAAGAGATCTTTGCATTAGTTTCAATCTAAACCAAGAACTTGAATAATTTATTTTGAGCCATACAGAAAGCACTATGCCTACACACATGGGCAACAAAAGAATGAAGAACAAAAATAAAAGTTACAGGTAGAATCTGTACAAAATATATTCATTCATTATCTTCCTCTTTATTAATCAATTTCTGGGTCAGGGGATGACAAACAGAGCTGCCATCCAATGCTCATTGCACCAGTCCCTCGCTGAACCTCCTGCAGGTGGTGGGTCCACAGGAAGATGGCTTCTCCATGAGATATGACACAGCCTTGATCTCTCAGCAGGGGCTTCAGGCAATGTGGGGTTAAGAGTCTTGCCCACGGACACAACGACAGTAGACATCAGTGGGAGCAGGTCTCGTGGTGGGATCAAATCCACGACTTTCAGGCCCAAAGGCAATTGCTCTACCAACTGAGTCACCCCTATATTATTATTACAAAAATAGTTCCATACATTCATTTATTATTCTACTGTACATATCGTATATACTTACACATGCATGGTTAAATACATACAGTACAGACACAAAGGCAATATTGAAGTTTCATTAAGTGTTGACATATTTGCAAATATATTTACAATTTATTGTCTCAAAATAAGAATACAGAAGAAGAACGTATAGACTCCAACCCACGTAAAAAAATAGCGTTTCTCTTTTATGGATACAGTTTTGAAGGAATAGTAATAGTTTCAGTCACGCCAACTTGATTTATTTCAAGTCAATAAACAATAGTGTCAAATATAAAAATATATGTGGCAATATTTCAGTTCAATTCAATTCATTTTTTGTTTTGTTTTGCCCTAAATCCCAACAGTAGATATCTCGGCGGAGTTTACAAAACCGTCGATTCGCCAACACAGATCCGAGAATCAAACAGTTCAGGAAATACAACAATAAAAAAGTCATAGAGCCATTGGTCCATTCATTTCAGTTTTTAAAAGAAATTACAATATATTACATTTTAGACATCAATCCAGCAGCCTGCTTTCTATTATCAATTCTGTGTAATAATAATGTGTTGATATGGTCCGTCTGTTTGGTAAAGAGGTCTGAAACTCTCTCTTCAAAAGCACCGGCTCTTGTGTTGTCATATCTTGCGTCTAGGTCAGGATTGGTTTGCAGGTCAGAGCCGGCGCCGCTTGTATTACAGCGTTTAGTCCCGTGTTCCGTGTGTCGACCTGTAGGACTGAGGGCTACACACGTTTTGTTCAGACGCCAGATTGGAGAGAGAGAGAGAAAGAGAGAGAGGGAGACCTAAATCCCTACTTCTATTTCTGTTCCGCTGGCCCACTGCTCCCGCCGGCCAATCAAAAGCCATTTAGCCCACGGTAGCAGTCAGAGGCATTTTGGGTCGTTAATTAGGCTAATTGCTGCCTTAATGCGTCACTGGTTAAAGTAATGTGGAAACTCATTGGAAAGTCAAGTCAAATATCGTTTAGTCGATATCGTTTTGGGAGAATAGATCCAAGGGTTATACATGGAATTTCAAACATAAAAAACATTTTAATTAATTAAGCTGGAACGAAATGCAAGATACGGAGTCTGAAGGGGGTGCTCCAAGTGGGACTGCGACAGGTTCTTCTTTGATCGGCATCGGCTGGTTGACTCAAAAGATGATCACAGAAAAAAGGGAGGCTTAAAAAAACATAAGAAAGGGCGACATACGTTGAAAATTAGAACATTCTTCAAAAAATCAATTTTCTTTTGTAATTCAACTTACAAATTATAATATTTTGAAAACGTAAGCCACAATTATCAACATAATAACACAAAGTCATTGCAAATGTCACTTGGCTTGGTTTCACATTTATGTTGGCATATCAGTATTTAGAAAAACATCATTTTAGACCCTGTTTGGGTAGAAAAACTAACTTCTTCTTTGGCTGGAAATAAGGTTTAGTTAAGTTTTTTGTATTAATTCATAAAGGACAATATGCAGTTACATTCAAAATACAGCTGCACCAGATTTAGCTCCATGCTACTTCCCATCTGTAGTCCTTGACAATACAATCATATAACTTGCATATTCACAAACAGTTCAAATAAAAAGTGTTGCAGTACTTGTTGGACTACTAAACACACTTAAGCATACTTGCAACATTTTAAATTAAAGTATATGTCCACTTATAGGACACACTTGGATATAGGTTTTTATGTTTTACTTCACCAACAAATCAAGGAGTAAAATGATCAGACTTTTTGTTGTAAGTGTTTTAACTGGACACAACATAATGTAATGAAAAATGCAATGTTGACTCATGATGATCAAAGCACTCCGCTAAATACAATCTATTTTTACAACAATCGCGTGTCCTATTTCTACAAAAAGTTGATGGAAATAAAGTTGATAAGGAGTTCAGAATCTTTGCTCCATCAACAGCCAAACAAGTGCATTTCCCTACACTTCCTCTTCGGCTCTCTGCTGTTCACATAAACACACTGAAGCAGGAATGTTTGCTACTCAATAGCTTTGGAGAACAGCTCCAAATCCGCTCCTTTACCCCAGGGGGCGCTATAACAAAACACAGACATACATTTGCCTGGATCTCTATACAGGCTATACAGATTTGGAAACTTGGAAAAAGTAGCAGCTTATGCAACAAGTTCACCCAAAAGAACAGCTATGTCCTTCTGAGTCAAAATCTGTAAGAATCTTAGAAAGACACAATATTCTACACACCTACTTAGAATTTTACGGGTACATTTAAAACACAAACCAACACATTTTTAGCCCAGCATTTTTTAACCTGTAAATGTTTCTGGCCTAAATATACAGCTTTTAGTAAAAAGGGAGGCTTAAATGAGATTGACGAATGCAAGAAAACCTTTTATGATTTTATTATCTTTTATTCACATTATAAAGTAAGCTGGAAAGTAAGTAATATTTATTTCATATTGCACAATTTTTACAGACCAAGGTCACCGAAAGCGCTTTATAATATTTATAATACGGCAAACACGCCTAAGCCACAAAAACTCGCATTGGTATTTTAATTTCAGACTTTAATATTGTATGAGCAGCACGTTTAAGGAGGACCAAGGTAAACTGAAGGTCTTTGTAATGCAGTAAAACATTCTCAATATGAATGATAATAATGCATCATTCACTCGAAGACGCTTTACAGAAGAACAAATCAATAACGAAATATTAAAAAAATAAAATAAACAGTTATGTGTAGGCAGTTTTGAACAGGCGGGTTTTGAGAAGCGATTTGAATTTATGAAGTGAGCGCAAGATCCTGATGTGTTTGTGGGAGTGAGTTTCAGAGATAGTCGAGGAAACTGCAGCAAAGGCTCGGCCCCCCAAGGTTCGGCGCTTTGTTCTGATGGCTGTGAGGAGTCTGTGGATCTGAGGTGATGGAATCTGATAGGAAAAATGCGATGACCCAATCTGTGGTATCAGTTCTATCAACAAAAACACCCCGTAGGAACTCTACAATCTTACTTTAGGATGTCTTATTGTTGTTGCCGCTCCTGATGGGGATTTACAAGAAAACAGCGCTTGTTTTTTGCCTTCAGCTCAAGAGCAAAGTGTATGTGGGTGAGTGTGTGTGTGCTGCTGATAAGGTTTGCCTGGCGAGGATAATGAGGCTGTATCAGCATTTCGTGATTTATGAGCAGGCCCCGTCCACCCGTAATCCCACTGGGCTCTGGTACTTGCCAAAATATATCACTGCTCATAGTACTGCAACAGCTGTTATTTATACAAGCATTCGACAATATATTTAGTTGTGAATTATGATCTGTCTTTTATGTTTTTTGATCTCGCTAACTATAAAACTAAATCCATGCCAAATGTGATATGTACATTTCGCCAGTGTGAGATCATTAAAGTCTATCTTATCTTATCTTATCTGTTGTATCTACTGAAAGTCGGAGTCATTCCATTCCCTCTATTCATGAAGCACTTTTTAACATTACCACTGTGACGACCTGTATGCTAATCGCAATCACACTCAAAAGTAGATCCAATGAAGTCCTTCTTTTTGACTCATTTTACAGCTTACAGGCTATAGCTACCCTTAAGAGACAAATGGGTAACGTTGTTTGATTGGTGGAAACGTTAAGTTAAACATATACATGTAAATTTCAAATCCATTCTCCAAACCAATTTAATTTTTTATGAGAGTTGATTTGCCAATATCAGATCAGAAATCAAACAATTCAAAAAACAACTAAGCAGATAAAATAATGGTCACAGGGATCAAAAAAATAGGTAGATTGTATGATTATTAGGCCCGAGCCCCAACTGGGGCAAGGGCCTATTGCTTTCCCAACAAGTAATGCCTGAGCCAGTGCCACCTCCTTTGCAAGGTGAGGCGAGGGTCGTTCGACGCCGCTTGCAGCTTTAATTTTTTTTATTTATCATCATTATTCGTTGTAGTATTAGTATTAGTATATTAGTAGTAATATTTTTTTTGGGTTATCTGAGTCTCCACCTGAGACATAAGGTCGAACCCAGGACGTTTCTTGGGGTGTACGGTCCCCATGAGTTCGATCTTCTGCACTTCTCAAGCATTGTAATGTCCCAGGAGCACGAGTTAGGTTCTTTTCAAATCCTTTTTCGACCAAGAGCTCCTTCAACTACTGGATGCTTTGGATTTGGTTCCCCACATCCTGCTGATCTCGATCTCAAGATATTTGTATCTGCTGAACTTCTTTCACCATAACATTAGTATTATTATTCTCAATATTTCTATGGTCATGATCATAAAAAAGTTGACCCAAACGTTTTATCCTGGCAAGGTTTTGCTGATCTAACTTAAAAGTATCTCGAATCAATTGAAAATAAAAAAGCCACCCAACCCCCCGCTCCCCACAGAAAACCCACTAGCAACAGTCTGAGTGCAGTAACCCCGCTCTGTCCTCCGTGTCTCAACTAAAGTGTCCAATAAGAAGATTCAGAGACCATTTGATTCATAAAAGCTCATTGTTATCTTAGTACTGTACACTGATCAACAATTACAGTTTCTTTATAGTGTGACAAGCATTGAGCATAGACCAATGTAGGAATAAAATATAATGTTGTATTTTTTTTACATCTGTGTGTGTTCGAGGGGTATGTGAGTGTATTACAAGGGGCACTTTAAATGATTTTCAAAATTGTTGTATGTCATTTTAAAGCCATACAATTTATTATATTCTTATTTATTATCAGTTAATAACAAGCTTTACTTATGATCCAGTTTAGCACTGTCCAAGCACTGTCCAAAGTCTGAAAAAAATCATGTATGAGCATTTTCAGTGTATTTGTTATTAAAAAAAAAATGTTTAGTGCAAAAACGTATTGCTCTTGACCAGAAACACGTGAAGGTAACAGTATGAACTGGATCAAACTATTTGACCGGCATAAATGTTCAGGTTGACCTTTTCAAAATGCATCCTATTATCTCTAATATCTGGTCTCTGGTGAGCGGGAGTGAGAGAGGGAGCGCAGAGGGAGGATTGGAGACACATTCTGCCAAGAGGATTAGGAGTCAGATGCCGTAAAGAACCAGATGAGTAGCACCCATGGCCATGAGTGCCCCTCCACCCCTCACCCTCTGCCTTTGTGCCTTTGAGCCCTTGAGCCCTGCACTGTTGTTTCCGAGTCTAGGTCAGAAAGTGGCTGGTGTGAGTTAGAAGTGCACAGAAAGGCCTGAGGTTTGTTATGTTTTCTACCACTGAATAGAAATGAGATGGAAAGCTTTTATGTTATTAAAGGGGACATAACCTGATTCTGTTCTCTATACTGTGATGATCTATGACCCTCGCGGCTCTTTGTGAGATATACAATTCATTTGAAATGTTTAGATTGATTGAAAACAGTGCTCTGACAATGCGAGTTTATTTGTATAGAACAGTTCAAACGCAACACAATGCAATTTATAGCACAAGATCACAAGCACACAAAATCATAAATAATCTCAGTACATTAAACAACCTTCAGTTGTAATGTATCTACATCAAAACCAAATTGTTTTAACCTAGATTTTACCATTGTCAGAGCAGAAGCCTCTCTCACATTTTCAGGGAGACTGTTCTAGATTTTAGCCGCATACTGTATATCTGAAATTCTCCCCAAAAGAAAGAAATGCCTCAAACCCCTTACCCCCGCCTTGACATTGGCTCTGCTCCTCTGCAGACCAAATTGCAATGCGTTTTTATTTTTTCCCTTCAACCAAATGAATTAATGTGCAACGCAAAGTTTAAGATAAATACAGAAAAAAAGCTGAGCATGAGCATGGGAGGGTTCTGGGGCCTCATGTACAAAACTTGGACATTTTTTACTTGAAAATGATATATACAAACTAAACTTTTACTTTTTCTAAGCACAAGTTACATCCAGCCTCATCTCTGAAAGTTTTTTTGACCAAATCATCAAATTAATTCGTATTGTCAATTGTCACCAACAGCAGATCAGAGAATGGAGCAATTTTAACACAAGAAATGCGATATTAACACACGTAGGAGGCATTGGTCCAGAGGGAGCAGATGACCAATGTCCATAAATGTTAATCCATGTTAATTAATATCCTTAAATGCCATGGATCATCACTGTCCTTAAAAATAACTGCAAAAAAAAAAAAGAAAAACACACAGAAGTCAAGGTGTCTTTTCCACAAGTAGGTGTTGTACATGAGAGAACTATGTGTTTGATGAATGAGACCATGGCCAGTGACACAGGTTTAGAAAACAGTAACTTTACAATAATCAAAGCAACACTTGGTTTTGTTTTTAGTGTGCAATGTGGATTTCAATGTGAACAATATTGTAAACAAAACAAAAATCTAACTTTCAGAATAGTGCTCAAACAAAGACAAAATTCCTCTCATCCTCTGATGTGTTTACGGACTGATTCTCTATCTCAATACATTCTCCTCATCGCTGTCACCACATGCTCCTCTCTATAATCCATGGGCTTTGGGGAATTCAACTCTTTCCGGCGTGTGGCCTAAATATGCCGCTGGAGAGACGTCCGTATGCGTCAGCTATTTTTCATTTCATTTTTGTTCTATTTTAATTTCATTTAGGAATTGAATTGTGCTTTAAAATGAAATATTTTGTATTCTATATCAGCTATCATTAAACTACAACAGCAGTTTGAGTTGTGGTGGGCTTTTCTGTGTGGAGTTTGCATGTTCTCCCAGTGTCTGCGCAGGTTTCTTCCAGGTGCTTCGGTTTTTTATTCCCAAAAAACACATGTACAACAGTCCCCTCCCCCTATTTTTTAGTATACTGGGACTTTAAACCCTATTTTTCAAGTTTACTGGGACCTTAACCCCTATTTTTTTGTGTATTGGGACCTTTAACCCTAATTTGGGGTATACTAGGACCTTTAACCTTATTTTTATGTATATTGGGACCTCTGTTATTTGCACATGTTTTGATTTTTGCCTCTTATTTGCTGCCTGGGCTGTTCTGCTAAAAGGAAAGCCTATCTCACTCCATGTATCTGTCTTTATGCATTTAATCATTATCATTAAATCCCTCTGTTTTCCACTTCAAGGACACGAAGAGAAGCTCGAATGGAAGAAGACGGAGGCCGCAAAACTGGAGGGTCGGTTCTATAGAGATTTTCTACCTTTAAACACTGAAACAAATAAGATAATTTTTAAGAAAATGCTTGACTTTGAGCTTGATGTGAATATTTAAAACAATAGAACAAGCATAACAGGGCTGGAATGCGATTTCTATCTTGGAATGGAAAAAAAAGAGAGATGCGGTACTCGAAATAAGACTAAGCGCAGGGACCACATCACTCCTGTTCTGCGATCCCTGCACTGGCTCCCGGTATATTTTAGAATTCATTTTAAAATTCTTATTATTGTTTTTAAAAGTTTTAATAGAATGGCACCTTCATATTTATATGAACTCCTCTGCGCTCTGCAGATCAGCACCTTCTTGTCGTCCCTAGGACCAGGCAGAAGACCAGAGGAGACAGAGCTTTTTCTGTTATAGGATCAAAGTTGTGGAACTCTTTACCTTTGCACATTAGAACTGCACAATCACTCGAGCACTTTAAATCCCTGCTTAAGACGCATCTTTTTTTCCTTTCCATTTTATGTGTTTTTATTTTTATCCACTTATTTTCCTCGCTGTCTGTTCAGCACTTTGGTAAGCCTAGGCTGTTTTAAATGTGCTCTACAAAAAAAGATTTGATTGATTGAAGATTGCTTACTCCATTGCAAAACAGTCTTGAAAAATATTTTGCGCAATTCAAGGAAAAATAAAGCTCAAGTCCCTGATTTTAGAAAGACACAAAAAACTATTTGATGGAACAGTTTTCACTAGTTTTCACATGCGTATGTCTATGGCCTCTGTCACATCTTTAACTTTTCCTTCAAAGAGAGTACAGACCCTCTTTTTAATCACGCCACAATCTGCCGCTTCAACGACCCGTGCAACCCGGGGCTGATTTGCTTTTGACCTATCAGCTCTAAGCCCAATGCATCAATTAGTGACTCACAGGGCTCTTTCTTACGTTTCTTAAGTAAATACATTCTCCCCACAATGTTATTGGGACAAACTGCATGGATTGTTTATGAGAACACAAATTTGGTACCATACATAGTGTTATTGTGGTGAATATATGTGATGGGAGAGAGGTGTAGGGTCAGTGAGTGTTTGGGCCTATGGGTGACTGTGTGTATGTGTGTGTGTGTGTGTGTGCTTTGTATTATGTTGTATAAGAGGGGTTTTTCACTACTACTACTCCTACTAACGCCACCACTACCAATTATACTACCACAACTCCTACTGCTACCACTATACCACTACTACTACTTCTACTTCCACAACCACAACTGTCAGTTCCACTCTTACTACTATTTTCTTTCTTTTGGTTTTTTGCCAGTCTATTCACCACTACTACTTTAATTACTACCACTACTACCACTACTACTACTACTTTTACCACTACCACTACTACTACTGTTCTATTACCGCTGCTGATCTAGTAACATTGCTATTTGCTTTCAGGCCCATCTACAAGCGCAGCCCGGACATGACCAAATCCCCTATGACTAAATCCGAGCAGCTCCTGAGGATAGACGACCACGATTTCACCATGAGGCCGGCTTTCGGAGGTAAAGCGTCAGAAGGAACGTAGCGAGACATAACGCTTAGATGTGATTATAGTTCATCATTCAGCAGCAGGGGTTAAGACGTCATCGCTCCTTCCTAAGTCTAAACCCCCCCCACCCTGTCCCGGTTCTTAATGAGATGTCCATGCAGCTGTGATGGCTCTCCTGTTACTCTCTCTGTCCATGTAGTGATTCTGAAACCTGCATTAAAAGGATTTGATGTCCATTTTTAACACGGGATTAAGTCTAGATGAAAGCAGAATTCCTATATGTAGGGAAAGAGAGGCAACACAAAGTAACAGATAGATAGGAGCTACTATTTGGACTATCATAAGTGCTCAAGGGGTATGTGAAGTAAGCAAGTATTTTTGTATGTTTACAGCGCCTTTCACAGTGTCACAAAGCGCTTTACAATTATTGTGGGCATTTGTTGTCTCACACCACACACGCCAATGGAAGCGGGTCGCCAAACAGGATGTGTATGAGGGGCTATTGTATATGTTTTTAGGGGAAGGGGGAATTAGAGGACCCCTAAAGAGACACGGGGAGAACATGCAAACTCAGCTACAGCCTTAGTCCTGGATCTAAAGCCTCAGTCCTGGATCTAAAGCCTCAGTCCTGGATCTATATCCTCAGTCCTGGATCTATAGCCTCAGTTCTGGATCGATAGCCTCAATCCGGGATCTAAAGCCTCAGTCCTGGATCTATAGCCTCAGTCCTGGATCTACAGCCTCAGTCCTGGATCTTTATCCTTAGTTCTGGATCTAAAAGCTCAGTCCTGGATCGATAGCCTCAGTCCTGGATTCCTCTACAACTCCTTCACTGATGACTCTTAGTACATATTCGGTGCAAGACGGATATTTTTGAATGCGCTGGAAAAGGCAGCAAGTCATAAGTAACTCTAAAACAGTTGTTGTTTTGTGCTTTACAATTGTTATTTTTCTTGCTTTTTCTACTTGTAAATGTTACTGCAGTACAGTGTTCATAGTTTAACACTGATCCAGACCAGAGCAGAGAGGATTCACGGACCAAACAAAGCAGATCCAGCAGAAATCAGACAAGAGCCTGAAGTACACGGAGCGAGCCACGGATGCCGAGCAGCCCAGTTGGAAAGCCAAGATTTGCCCAGTGGAAGTCGGCTGCAGAGGCTTCGTGGGCAATTCAACCATCAAGCTCCTTAAGGATCTTGGTATTCGAGGCCAAGCCCAACGACAGACCATCAAATCCCACTCAGGAGCACCTGAACACGCAAGACGGTGGCTATGGTTGAAAAGGCAAGACAATTTCTGGGCCCAAAAGTTTAGCAGTGGTTCAGGAGGGTTGAAAGCAGGGGAGATGCCAGGCAGTGTCTATGAGCCTTCTGGACTTTAGTGGGCCGATCATGTTGTTATAGAAATATTTTAGTAAAGCAATCTGAATTAACACCAAATAGTTATGAGTGTAAGTTATTAACTAATAGTCAACTCTGGATTCAGATACAGGCCATAATGCTCTGTTGGCAGCAGGTCAGTGATAGATGGAGACGTGCTGCATCATGTCTTTGACCTGGGTCATAGAACAATATGTTCAGTTCAAAAGCAGATTGTTACATATATCAGAGTTGTATCAGCGTTAGGAGGCGTAAAGAGAAGCCTTGAGCAACACATATCAATGTTGACTTCATTTATGTAATATCTAGAGTAGATATGTGTTTGTTTACTCTGGTCTATTTAATGTACAGTCATTTCCTCAATCGGGGCAGTCGATTTCGGACGGCTGCCCGGTGGTATTGGTATCGGTTCTGTTATTCATTGTAATTGTGCACATTTACTAATGAATAAACTCACACTTTGTTTGGAATTACGGCTCTGGGTTGTTTACATTATTTTACTCTTGTTATGTGCAGTAATTCTACAACAATGTCAAAACACCCCCCCCATCCCTTCCCATAAGCTGGTATTACTATTGATACTGTTACACGCCACAAATCTCAGGCTCCAAATCAAGGGATTGTTCCTTCTGATCCTATAACAGAACTTTACTCTGGACTAGAGCAGAGAAAATGCTCCAAACCAAGCGGATACTCCACCTCTGCTGCTGTTGTTGCATTTTAATAATATTGTTAGCTACTTTTAAGGTTGATCTATTTATATTTTTTGTTTGTATGGATGGATTTGTTTCTGCTGCTACTGAACACCAGATTTTTTTTTTTCACACGGGGCATCAATAAATCGATCTAAATTCTTATTACCCTGGTTACTAACGGCTATTTTTGATAAGAGCACACTGCCATATGGGGGAATGCTTCAAAGCTTAAGCGATACAACACATGCCGGTCCGGTTACAGCGTCAGACAGTTTGTTTTTTTAATCACACCACAATCTGCCGCTTCAACGACCCGTGCAACCCGGGGCTGATTCTCTTTTGACAAGGTCCCGTTTGTGCATTTAGAGTCGGCCCAAAAAGAGATTTTCAACTCATTACTGTGACCTAATTGAGAGCCACAGTGACGCACTATCAGGGACATTGAGTTTGTTTAGACTTTCAGACAGAGAGCCGGGTGAAACAGGCTGACACTGAACATGTATGGATGTTCATGGACATTGTTCATTGCATTTCTGTTTGATTCTCTGATCTGTGTTGGCAAATTCAACAGTTTTGTTAAGTCCACCGAGACAAATTGAGATTTTGGGTTATACAAGAATGCATTGAATTGAAAGACACCATGCCGTTCCTGTGTGGAAGAATGTCCAGTGTTTGACCACGACGAATGCTCCAATAATACTGAGAAAATACAATTATGGTTTGGATTTTAGAGCATTTCTTAGACAAACACAAATTATGATGCAATTTATGTTTTGACGATGAGAAGGTTACACATCTTTTCCTTGAAATTCTGTTTATATATTCCTTGGAAGGATATTCTACAGTAGAGGGTACTTAGTTGGAATGATCTTGAGAGATACAGTATCTTTCAAAATGTGGAAATATTGGCTGTGAGAGTTTATTATAGGGGCGACTATGGCATGTTTTACACCATTTTATGCTCTGGCTCTCATTTTGTATTTACTGTTATGTTTTACTGTTGTGTTTGTTTAGATGGTTTTATCCTATTTGAAATATGCTATAGAAATAAAATGGGTTGGATTTTAAAGCAAATTTTCTTAAGTTAACAATCACATAATTTAGTGTATTCTAAATCTTGAACCCAGATCACAGTTATGAATAATAATTACTCAGTCGGCCAGTCTAAGCACTCTTTATGTCCATGTACTCATTTTGCTTCACTCAGCAACAGGTCAAGCAGAAGATAAATAAATAACAACATAATCAAGAGAAAAAAACGAAAGATTACTTTTTATTAGTAATATATACAGTACTTACTGTTACATTGATATAGGTAAACATCTAAAATAAATAAACATTTTATAAAGACAGTTATAGAGAATGGGCCGTGCCCAAATGAGTTTTAATCTGGGTGCATCCTTCCCTGTTTCCCCTGCTGTGGGTAAACTCAACCACAGAGCTACCTTATCTTTCTTTACTAAAAATCCAATTGAGGTCTGCAAATAAAATTATACTTTACCTTCTCCTATTTTGACCCTATCGTAGAAATAATAAACTACTCCTTACCATTCGCTAATTCTAGCTGGCCCAATTTGCATAATTTGTGTGTTATGATGAGACAAGAGCGGTAAGGTTCAGGAAGTTAGAAGTGCGATAAACAATAAATACATATTTTGAATAGTCAACTTTCAATATATAAGATCGCATGATGCAAAATGCTTGTCAACAATCCTTGTCAGTAAGTAAGTCAGCAATACCAACACCACAAACAATGATCACAATCCTATGTTTGAACATTCTGTATCTATATCAAATAAGGAAAAGGAAATATAAGGAAACCAGTGTGGTGTTAAATTGTTCTGAGAGAGAAAGGACTCTCCAGCAAAATAGTAAAAGAAAGCATATTTTTACTTGCATGGAGGCCATATGTCAGATCTATGGAATGAAATCACTTAATCCTCAGCATAGTGGAGGATCAAAATGTGAAATCTCTGCAGATACAGACAATCTATTAGTTTTGGGCTTGCAGAAATTGACCATATTTGATGTGCTTTCAGGTCCTCCCATTCCAGTCGGAGTCGATGTCCAGGTGGAAAGTTTAGACACAATCTCAGAGGTTGATATGGTAAGGAAATGTTTCTTTACTTTCTTTACTTATTTAAAGCTGGGGTACCTAACCTTTATCACATCAATAATTAATTTAGTTTGTCCCAACAGTATTAATGTTGTCAGTAAAATTATGACCACAACATGTCATCAGCTTATCAGAAAAAAACGTTTTATTTTATACATACTCTGTCACATCTAAACATGTGACAGAGGCCTAAAATACATTATTTTTTTAATTTTATAACCAAACTGTTTTAAGGAGCGAGGAACTGCGTACGTGGATATATAAAAAAGTTCAATAGTTTATGGTTTGAAAGGTAGGTACCCCAGCTTTAACATTTAGCAAAACAACTGTCCCCATTTAAAAATCATGTTATGTATCAAAAGTTTTAAATCTTGTATTTCAATTATTTAATTTAAAACCTGCATAACCCATGTTCATATACGTCAATATAACAAACAAATAACAAGTACATGGCCCATATAAAACATTTAAAACACAGAAAACAAAAATCAACAAATTAAAATATAGATTCTGCTCATACTCTGCTAATTTACATTTGTACATATTCATTGCTCCTACAGTATTTTACAGACCTATACTTTGGTCGCTAAAGCCCTAAAGTATTTACTGCTACTTATCTCTGTATATTTAGTTTGCTCCATGTGTGTTCTTACTACTGTCCTCATGTATGTATATATATATATATATATATATATATATATATATATATATATATATATATATATATATATATATATATATCTTCCACACCGAAATTTCCCACTGTGGGCTGATTATAGGACCGTGTTCTAATCATTTGTTTTTTAAATTTCTTGTTGGTACATTTTGTAATTTTGTAATGTCCTCTGGGACGACTGCTGTTGTGAAATTATTCAAGTAAAATTTAATTGAATTGATTGATTGACGTACACCCACACGCACACACACACACACATGCACACTCAGACCAGACACCAAACACTCTCTGACCCTACACCTCTTTACTCACTCTCTTCTCTGTGAACTTTGCCATTACCTCTTTTTCAAGTTTTAAAAAATGAGTATCACATAGATTTTTAAAGTAGGCCTAGTTTTAATCACACACACAAAGCTTAACTCTTGCTGGTGTTTTGCTGCAGGACTTCACCATGACCCTGTATCTGCGTCACTACTGGAAGGACGAGCGCCTGTCGTTCCCTAGCACCAACAACCAGAGCATGACGTTCGACTCGCGGCTGGTGAAGAAGATCTGGGTCCCCGACATGTTCTTCGTTCACTCCAAACGCTCCTTCATCCACGACACCACCACCGACAACGTCATGCTGCGCGTCTACCCCGATGGAAACGTGCTCTACAGCCTCAGGTCTCACACTCAGAGGGATTAACCTAGAGCAGTCTGGGGTGGACATGTGACTGGTGTGGTGTGTAGGAGTCAGACAGAGGCAGCTATAGCATCATTTTGGCACAGTTGACCTGGAGTTTATTCTGTAGTCGTCCCAGAAAGGATATAACGTTTATAGAAGTCTTTATATAAACGTGTGTACAAAATGACAAAAAACACAGACAGACACGCATGCAGACACACACACACACACATGCAGACAGACACACACTCATACATTTGCTCAAACACTCTCTGACCACACACCTCTACCTCATTCTTTTTGCAGCTATAGCATCATTTGACTTGAAGTTTATTCTGTAGTTGTCCCAGAGAGTGTAAAGATTTACAAGGGCTTATACATCCATCCATCCATCCATTTTCTTCCGCTTTATCCGTTGCCGGGTCGCGGGGGCAGCAGTCTAAGCAGAGACGCCCAGACTTCCCTATCCACACACACTTCCTCCAGCTCGTCCGGGTGGACCCCAAGGCGCTCCCAGGCCAGCTGAGAGACATAGTCCCTCCAGCGTGTCCTGGGTCTTCCCCGGGGCCTCCTCCCGGTGGGACGTGCCCGGAACACCTCCCCAGGAAGGCGTCCAGGAGGCATCCTGAACAGATGCCCGAGCCACCTCAACTGGTTCCTCTCGACGTGGAGAAGCAGCGGCTCTACTCCGAGCTCCTCTCGTGTGACCGAGCTCCTCACCCTATCTCTAAGGGAGCGCCCAGCCACTCTGCGGAGGAAGCTCATTTCGACTGCTTGTATCCGCGATCTCGTTCTTTCGGTCATTACCCACAGCTCATGACCATAGGTGAAGGAGGGAACGAAGATTGACCGGTAAATCGAGAGCTTCGCCTTTCGGCTCAGCTCCCTCTTTACCACAACGGTCTGATACAGAGACCGCATGACTGCGCACGCTGCACCGATCCGCCTGTCAATCTCACACTCCATCCTTCCCTCACTCGTGAACAAGACCCCGAGATACTTGAACTCCTCCACTTGAGGAAGGACCTCTCCACCCACCTGGAGAGGGCAAGGCCCCTTTTTCCGGTCGAGCACCATGGCCTCGGATTTGGAGGTGCTGATTCTCATCCCAGCCGCTTCACACTCGGCTGCAAACCGTCCCAGTGCATGCTGCAGGTCCTGGTTCGTTGGAGCCAGCAGGACGACATCATCCGGGACGAAAACCACACTGCTCCTCCTGAATCCGAGATTCGAACATCGGCCGTAGCCTCCTCTCCAGTACCTTGGAGTAGACCTTACCGGGGAGGCTGAGGAGTGTGATCCCACGATAATTGGAACACACCCTCCGGTCCCCCTTCTTGTAGAGAGGGACCACCACCCCGGTCTGCCACTCCATTGGCACCTCCCCTGATCGCCACGCGATGTTGCAGAGACGTGTCAGCCAAGACAAGTCTTACAACATCCAGAGACTTTAGATCTCAACCACTCCCGGCGCCTTGCCACCATGGAGGCTGCCAACCACCTTGGTGACCTCGGCCAGGGAGATGGAAGTATCCGCCCCAACATCCTCAGCCTCTGCCTCGTGGACGGAGGACGTGACGGGGGGATTGAGGAGAACCTCGAAGTATTCCTTCCACCGCCCGACAATATCCCCAGTCGAGGTCAGCAGCCCTCCACCCGCACCATACACGGTGTTGGCAAAGAACTGCTTCCCCCTCCTGAGGCGCCGGACGGTTTGCCAGAACCTCTTCGAGGCCGACCGATAGTCATGCTCCATGGACTCTCCGAACTCCTCCCAGTCCCGGGTTTTTGCCTCTGCAACAGCCCGGGCCGCGGCACGCTTGGCCTGCCGGTACTGGACAGCTGCCTCAGGAGTCCCACGAACCATCATTGCTCGATAGGACTCCTTCTTCAGCCTGACGGCATCCCTTACTGCCGGTGTCCACCACCGGGTTCGGGGATTGCCGCCGGGACCAGCACCAGAGACCTTGCGACCACAGCTATGAGCCGCCGCATTGGCGATAGAGGAAGAGAACATGGTCCACTCGGACTCGATGTCCCCCTCCTCTGCCGGGACCTGGGAGAAGCTCTCCCGGAGGTGTGAGTTTAAAGTCCGTCTGACAGGGGGCTCAGCGAGACGTTCCCAGCAGACCCTCACTATACGCTTGGGTCTGCCAGGTCTGACCGGCTTCTTCCCCTGCCAGCGGATCCAACTCACGACCAGGTGATGATCGGTTGACAGCTCCGCCCCTCTCTTTACCCGAGTGTCCGAGACACGCGGTCGAAGGTCAGATGATACGACTACAAAGTCGATCATCGACCTCCGGCCTAGGGTGTCTTGGTGCCACGTGCACTGGTGGACACCCTTGTGCTCGAACATGGTGTTCGTGATGGACAAACCGTGACTAGCACAGAAGTCCAACAACTGAACACCGCTCGGGTTCAGATTAGGGGGGCCGTTCTTCCCGATCACCCCTCTCCAAGTGTCACTGGCATTTCCCACATGGGCGTTGAAGTCCCCCAGGAGAATAACGGAGTCCCCGGGCGGTGCACTGTCCAGTACCCCTCCCAAGGACTCCAAGAAGGCCGGGTACTCTGCACTACCGTTAGGCCCGTAGGCCGTCACAACAGTGAGAGACTTGTCCCCCACCCGGAGGCGGAGGGACGCGACCCTCTCATTCACCGGGGAGAACTCCAACACGTGGCGGCTGAGATGGGGGGCAATGAGTATGGCCACCCCAGCTCGCCGCCTCTCCCCGCGGGAAACACCAGAAAAGTGGAGCGTCCAACCCCTCTCAAGGAGTTGGGTTCCAGAGCCCAAGCTGTGTGTGGAGGTGAGGCCGACTATCTCTAGTCGGTATCGCTCAACCTCCCCCACAAGCTCGGGCTCCTTCCCCCCCAGTGAGGTGACGTTCCACGTCCCAAGAGCCAGATGTTGGGTGTGTGGACTGGGTCGTCGAGGTCTCCGCCTTCGACTGCTACCCAGTCCTCGCTGCACCTCGCCACCACGGACCCCTCTGCAGGTGGTGGTGGGCCTGCCCACGTCATCCCTTCGGGCTGAGCCCGGCCGGGCCCCGTGGGCTAAGGCCCGGCCACCATGCGCTCGCTTGCGAGCCCCGACCCCAGGCCTGGCTCCAGGGTGGGGCCCCGGCTGCGCCATGCCGGGCGACGTCACCGTTCTAGTATTAGTGCTGTCCATGGTTGGCTTCGGACTGCGCTTTGTCTGACTGGTCACTTGAGACCTGTCTGCCATGGGAGACCCTACCAGGGGCATGAAGCCCCAGACAGCATAGCTCCCAGGATCATCCGAGTGCTCAAGGGGGAGAATACAAGGGGCTTATACAAGTACCGTAATTTGTAGACTATAAGCTGTTACTTTTGTCTCTAGTCCTTTGAACCCTGCGGCTTATACAGCAATGTGGATAATATGTGTATTTTCTATCGTAGTAAAGTTGTCAGAGCAGAGGTTATAGAATCTGAATGAGTACAGGTATTGAGGCTAACAGGTCATTCAATCATGTTGTGACCAGTTAAAACAGTCGTCAATCTGCTGCATTACAACATGGAAACCTGCATCAAGTGCGGCCTATATGTGGAAAACATTTACTTTCTTTTAAAATTCAGCGTGTGCAGCTTACATACTGTAAGCCTTATAGTCCAGAGAGTGCAATTCATTTGTTTTAAATGTGTCTACAAAAGACAAAGTGAGGCTTGGCACACCACCTAAGTTCTGATTCTAGGATCAGTGAGTTCATATAGAGGCAACTGTTATGTGGTGGAAAGCAGGACGGACCTAAAATTCAATACTAAAAAAAACACAATTTGATAACCAAGAATCCAAAAATCCAAAACTGTATAAACACAGGAACTGAAGACGAACCAAGAACAAACATTCAATGGCCTGACAACAAGAGGGAAAAGAGCACAGGGAATTTAACTGAGAGGGTCACAGGTGAAACAAATCAGGGCAGGGCAGGCAATTAACAGAACAGGAAGTAAAACTCTAAAAGACACAGGGGAACAGAATTACAAAATAAAACAGGAACCTTTAGTGACAACCATGACAGCAACGTGATATGTTGAATACTGTACATTAGTGATAATAATAACAATACATTTTATTTAAAGACCCCCAAATGCGCCTTACAATAGATTTTTAAACGTTTTAGCTACAGTGTTTATGACAGCGGTATTCATCCGTTACTCTGAAGTCATCGGAAGGCACCAGTTGATACGAAATAGTCTGTTTGCAACTTTTTCAGTCCACGCGTCACATTAAACACTGGATGCACGGACGGTCACAACCAACAGAGAGCGGCACTGGCCTCACACTCTCCAGTGGCGGTGGTTGACCTACTTATGTAAGAGAACTTTCATTAGTCGGCTGCTGTTCATGAATTATATTAGATTATCTTCAAATTAGAATTCTTTTGCCACAGTTTATATGCAAATTTTATACAATTATTAAGTGTCTTTCATTACTTTAATCCCGTAGAACCCAGACATTTTAATATAGGCCAATATTATCTTTATTTTTAATTTAATTATTTTTATTAGCATTTTCTTCTTTCTGCACATACAGATTTTAAGAACAGAAAATGTAAGTCAATATGATGCCATTGGTCTCCTATATCCTGACTTCTAATCCGTTTTCTAAACCCATTATTTCAAAAGAAGAAGAAAATAACCCTCTTCGGTTCCGAAGCACAAATGCCTGTAGGCCTTTATTTCAGTTTCAGAGTTTCTGCAGAGTTTCTTCAGAGTTGGAGACAGAGCAAGAATTTTATGGGACAATCAGCGTCACAGTAAAAACGCAAACTCAGGTGTTTACAAATCCAAACAACGGAGACAAAACTGAAGGCGTCGTGACAGATGTCTTTGTTCCATGTCCATTTGGTAAAGGCCAGTTCTGACATTTGACTCAGATAATTATTTTATTTTATTTATTTTATTTATTTTATTTATTTTATTTATTTTATTTATTTTATTTATTTTATTTATTTTATTCTATTTGTTTATATATTTAGTATTTTTTGTTATTTAGTTGGATCCCCCTTAGCATCCACAAGTGGTCACTTTTAAATTCAATTATAAAAAGTCCCATCACATAAGACAGACGAGCGCTGGATTTGACACCATCATTATCTTTTAGTAATTACATTATGAGGTGTAACATATCATTCAAATAGTTTATAGTTTCTCAGCAGGTGCACAGTTGGTGTCTGTTTGCCATCAGAGCTCAGGCTGCAGCTGCAATGATCCAGAAAAGTCTTTGAAGAAGACTGAAGGCCCTATCTCTCTGTAGGATCAGCTCACTGCAGAGAATGCTAATCAGCCTCCAGCCGCTCACGGCCACACTGCCCCACTTACTTTTGGAAATGTTGTTAATTTCACACATACTAATGAGATTGCAGATAAACTGATTTGTCTCAAGTTCAAGTGAATAATAATTCTGATTTACATGATGGTTCACTTTGGTTTAGTGTATGTATTTCTTCTGGTATGTGTTTGTTTGTCTGTTTGTGGGTTAAGCCTCAAGAGATGAATACTCCTGTTATGGAGAGGGTCCTCCAAAATGCGCCAAATGACAGACACAGAAAGGCAGACAAAAGCAGACAATAAATAAAGCTGGGGAGGGCCTTGTTAGTATTGCTGCATGATGTTGGAAATTAGAGTGATATTTGATATGGGTGTCTAGTATTTTGATAACGACATTATAGTGATGTCTTTTTCCTAAAAATGCAATCTGCATTGAACTTCAAGAAAAATCTCTAACAAAAATCAAGTACAACATTGATTACATTCAAATGCTGTATTGCACACATATTCTCTTCAAATCTTGCCTAAAATGCCAATGCCAATTTCATACACGTATTAACGGAGAGTGTGTACTTTGCTATTTATCGCGTAATGGCTGCAATTAAAGATTTGTGTTGCTTTGAAGTTTTCTCATAAGGAGCTACAGAAGCGAAACTGTCTTTAATGCTCTTTTGCGCATTTGCCTTTTGTTTGACCGGAGGCTGTGGAGTCTGAGATTGTAGATACACCTAAAGAACCTTGTGGTTACAGTGCTGCAGGTGGCTCTGGAGATTTAGCAACTATTTTTGGAATGACTTGCAAATAACTTGTTTCTGTGATTGGTCCTATCTTGTAAATCCAAAGTAGTCCCACATTTTAGTGGTAAAGTGTCTTTTGGGAACAAGTTCCTCTCTGCATTTGTCTCTCCATCATCCGCTTGTTTTGTTTCTCCATGTGCTTCACTTTTACGTGTGGCGGCTCTAAGTCGCAACAAATTTGTCACAGTGCGCGTACAAGAAATGTATTCATAAATATGTCAAAAAATATGATTTTTGTGCATCTTTTAGATATGGATATTGCGCATACCAAAATCGCAATGATGACTACAAGTTAGGGCGGCTGCTTCTGTCAGTGTGCCCCAGGGCAGCTGTGGCTGGAGTTGCCGTTTACCACCACTGGGAATGAATTGATAATGACAAAAAAATGACGTAAAAAATTATTGATCATAGTAATACATATTATGATTGGAGATGATGAATAGATATAAAACCAAGGCTCAAAAACACTGTCATGGACTCTGTAATTACAAGATTAAGACACACATATTTTCTCATAATAATTTTTTGAAGGACTCTGAGGTCGTAAGGACTCTCCTGAGGTTGAAAGAGTTGGGGCGATTTGTTTGTTCTTGTTGAAGAAAATGACAAAAGATGCAGAGTTCTGGGATCGTCTCACAGCAACAGACGTTTTAATCTCTTCAGCGTGGACATGGCTATATAGAAGATGAACCATCGACACTCCTCCAAGCACCTGCTGCGCCAATATCTATTAACACATCAAAGCTAACACATCTATTGCCAATAGGTCTGTTAGCTTCGACCTTTAGTTTTAACAAAGTTGCAACAAAAGTGTCATAAAAGAACCATATCTTATTTTCAACTCTCTGAAATGGTATTATTTTCCCATTACAGAGTCACAGTTACAGCAATGTGCAACATGGACCTGAGCCGGTTTCCTCTGGACACACAGACATGCTCGCTGGAGATCGAGAGCTGTGAGTGCAAATTCTTCATCGACAACCCCCAGAAAGTGACCGCTCACAAAAAAAACCACATGTTTTTTTTTTATTAACAGATGCGTACACAGATGACGACCTCATGCTTTACTGGAAAAAGGGGAATGAGTCTCTGAACACAGACGACAGAATATCGCTGTCTCAGTTTCTCATCCAGAAGTTCCACACCACCACCAAGCTGGCGTTTTACAGCAGCACAGGTCTGGGCCTGAGAAAGTCTAATCATTCTGGAAATCTTACCACGTTCATCTGTAAAAGAGGATATAAAGTATTCCAATAGATTTTGTAAAGTCCTCTGAGATAACTACTGTTGTGATTTACACAAAAATAAATTGAATTGAATATACTCTAGAAAATTGTTCATACTTATCTAATTTAAACTTTTTTCTTGCAAATTATGAATATAAAAAGTCCACAGCCCTGCAGCCTCCTCCTCACACAAACATGTTATCAGGCCTCAACAGAAGAGCTTTGGGGTTTTTCTCTAACTCTGATCAGTTGTCTGTTTGTAAATGTTCTTTGTGGAGTTATAGCCTCTGCATCTAAACTCAAAGTGTATGTTTGGCGTGTGTCCAGGATGGTACAACCGCCTCTACATCCACTTCACGCTGCGTCGCCACATCTTCTTCTTCCTGCTGCAGACGTACTTCCCGGCCACGCTCATGGTCATGCTCTCCTGGGTGTCCTTCTGGATCGACCGCAGGGCAGTGCCGGCCAGGGTGCCTCTAGGTAACGCTGTCCCCCTGCTGCCTCTTTCACTGCACCTGCAAAACTTTACTTTTTATTTGTTCAAGAGAGAAGCGCTTCCTCAACCATTTGGTAGCTCAAATGAGTCAATATATCTCCTTTAACCATGTTTACAACTGGGGAATCTCACTTGGTTTTAGGCACTTTTACATAATACTGCATCTTAACCATCTACAAACATTAAGTTAAAATGTATGTTGTTTATAATACTCAGATTTCACCTCTATCACTTAATTAACAAATGTAAAAATCATCATCATAGAATTTTAACAGTTTTTCTTATGGCTGTGTTGCAGATTTTGGTTGTATCCAAGCAAATACAAAATACTCTTGACTTCAAAGAAATATTGATTTCCCCAGAACCAAAATACTGGAAATTTAGACAAATTCACATTCAGATTACAGAAAATGTATTTAGCCATCGTCTCCACAAACTGAACGTCGTGTGATAGTGAGAGTAGTTTCTGGGTTCTTTCTCCATCTTTCATGGTGTAATGTGTTCCACCAGGCATCACCACAGTGCTGACCATGTCCACCATTATCACGGGGGTCAACGCCTCCATGCCGCGGGTCTCCTACATCAAAGCCGTGGACATCTACCTGTGGGTCAGCTTCGTCTTTGTCTTCCTGTCGGTCATAGAGTACGCAGCCGTCAACTACCTGTCCACCGTGCAGGAGAGGAAGGAGAGGAAGCTCCGGGAGAGGGTGAGCCCATTAAATAGAGATAAAAAATTTGACGATTCGATTGTATTGCGATTGTATTGATTCTGCAATATACTGCAATTCATGAGAGACGCTAAGAAAATCTTTGTCCCACAGTGGGGAAATTTCAATGTTGCAGCGCACATACAGGACAGTAGTAAGAGCAAGATACACAATATAAGTAGCTGCTATGTTTCTTAGCTAGCTAAAGATGCTGAAATATGAAGATATCAATATATCTTTATCTATCCATATATATTATATATACAAAAACAGTTACAGGACCAGAATGATGTCAAAGTCCATATTTAGTCCACCAATTTAAGAAGTTTCCAAGAAAGACAAAGAAAACAGAAGGTCTGAACTACACCCAAAAATAGTTCTGAAATGAGACTTGCGACCCTGTCCTGGTTAAAGCTGTGATTCTTGAGCAGAAAATGGAAATTAGTGACAGTTCACGTTTATAAGATCTCCTCGCACAAACATCTTAAGCTGGGGAAGATTACGTGTCTTCGGCTGCCAAACGCTGCGGCATATGGAGCCAAATTTTACTTAGAGCCTCAGGGAGATGTAAGAATAACGCTTTGAATGTTATGTGTTGGAAATGCAGCTAAATTTGACGGTACAAGATTCATGTCTGTCACAATGAATACCAAGCAAACATAGATATGTGTGATATTTTATATATGTGGTATTGTGCTTTGCCAGAGGTTGACAAGTCAATAGTCTAAATTACTATGAGGTTTCTAACACATGTTTTTATTACATTATAGATTATTATCAAGAAGCATATTTTTGTTAATGTTATGATAATAACCAGAGGAGCGAATGTCTCTCTCCTGAGGTAGCAATGGGGAGGAGGAGGGTTGTGGCACTAGCTGAATTCAGAGCGCAAACTAGTGGAATTCAATGTATTTCGATCTATTCAATCTGTTTATTGTATAGATGGATGTCTTTCTGCTGCTACTGGAATTTCTCCTACGGGGATCAATTTAGTATCTATTTATTGATCTAGTATTTTTGTATAGCCCTAAATCACAACAGTTATCTCAGGACTTTACAAAGGTGTTGATTCACCAACAGAGATCAGAGAATCAAACGGTTAAAACAGAAATTATAAGAAATTATACAATGATGCAATAATAAAAACAAATAGAGCCAATGATCCATAAGTACATAAATGTTGTGCGTCCAGGATCATCACCACTGTCCTTAGACCCTGCTGCATCTGCAAAGAAAAACTGTAAATGAGATTAAAGAGGCACAGGTCTGTAGTAGGAGTCATATATTGTCAACTCACTTATGTTTTATTTGTATTTTTATCCATTTCTGACCCTTCAAAATTAATAGGTCACAACAGGGAGGAGCAGGGTTGTGGCTTGAGCCGTATTCGGAGTTTTAAAAAAAGAGTCCCATATTAATCTCATCTACTCTCTCCCCTGCAGTTGCCGTGCACGTGCGGAATAGGTAACCCGGACGAGATGATGATCGACCCCCAGATCACGGGCTACGGCTCCATGGACCCCAACACCACGGGTCATTATGGGATGCCTGAGAACGGCGGGCGGCAGGAGCGCATGTTAGCACAGGTGGCTCTCAACGATCCGCAGCTCACGGGTCAAGTGAAGGCTCGAAGCTACGTGAACATTTGGATCGATACTCACGCCATAGACAAGTACTCCAGAGTGGTGTTTCCTGGAGCCTACATTCTCTTCAACATCATCTACTGGTCCATATACTCATAACTATGGGTGGTCAGACTATGGAGGCTCTAAAACTGGGAGCGAAACAATAATTGGATTGGGCAGGGGCCTGGACGGACGGATTTTTGCCTTCTTGCCCCAGCCTTTTAAAACTGTGAGCTATTGTCAAACATTTTAAAATTGGAACCAGGATTGGACTTTTTGAGCATTTGAATAGACGCTGAACTTGAGTAAAGACAATCACATACTTTACATTTGTGAGCATGCTTGTCATTTGGATTGATGTGTTATTACTGTAATATTATTTCACAGATTGATATTTATAACAAAAGATTTTCTACTTTGTACCGTTGTGATTTCCAGTCGCTTGTGACGTCTTTTACAGATTACAGACCACTTTATACGGTTTAAGGCAGGGATGTCCAAACCTTTTTAGTATGAGGCCCACTCAAGCCCCAGCAATCCAAGATGGCGCCCTATTCAAGTGAATGGCTGGTGCTCAGTAGCGCATGTACCACCATCGGGGCCGAAAGATTAGTGGAACTCGCCCATATTTGGGCGTTGTCCGGTTTTGTGCTGTGAACGAGCTCCCATGATGCATTGCGCCAAATACGTGTGTGTGGCTCTCATGCATGTGCACATAGGGGCTCAGCTGCGCACAGACCAATCAAAGCTGCTTATCAGAGCGGAGATAGAGGGGAGGTAAATTACAACAGCATTCATCTTGGAAGACTTTACAACGTTGTCAATTCCAACAGTTACACACTAATCACAAGATACATACAGGCATAACAGAAAAGAGAGAGAGAGATTCCTGGCAGGCCCTCAGAATCCTTCTTGCTAAGTGTTCTTGGCCGAGAGATTCCACCGACCAAAAGACTCAATAGTTTGCAGATCCCTGAATATGTATAGCAGCCATGATGTCACTCTCAGGTTACACAAGGAGGAGGCCATGGCCCGCAGATAAGGCCATAAATATCAACTAGATTCTGAGCTTTACGAGGTATGGCATGCCTGTATCGGTGGAGATGAGGTTGGCTGGATGACAACTTGTGTTTATGATCTCCTACGTTGTGTTAGTAAGATAGAGGACCACATCATTTGAAACAGAGGACCGCATTTGTCCCGCGGGCCTTATTTTGGACATGCCTGCTTTAACGCAAAAACCCAAGACATTTGACTGAGAACGTCTTCTGGTATGATTAAAGATTAAATGTTTTGTATTTTAACTCAAATTCTGTCTTTTTTAGAAATACATTTAAACACATTATTGCATATACATTTACAGGGTGTGTGTGTATTTGCTAAAAAATCACCGTCAAATATATTTACTTTTATTTTTGCCAATTCATTTTTTTGCACAAACTAAACTATACGATGTGAAATAAAATACAATTGTATGAGTGTTTGTAGTACCTTCTTCCCGGCTTGTTGATTTGCAAGGAAATTTTGCATTTAAAAAAAATTGGTTTCTACAACTTTTAATCATCCTGAATAAGTGGGTTTTGTCCCATCTGGGCTGCACTAGTCCTCAGGGCAAACAACTGCCTTCTTAGCTCCTGGAGTAAACAGCACAGAACGTGCAGCTAATAAACATGAATTAAAAAGTATTTTTGACATAAGCTGGAATGAGATGACAGAGAAAAGAGTGAACTGAAACATTTGCAATACCTTGGACGACTGCCATATGAAATGAAAGAGAAAGAAAAACTGTCTTCAGCCGCGGAGATGCCTTCAAACAATGTAAAGTAGATCAGCATCACGTCTTTTGCTTGAATTATTTAATTGAACCGTATTCTGTTTCTGCCACTTCTTAAAGCTCATGTGCCTAACTTTCAAACCACAAAAAGTGGGGAAATGTGAGTGTTGCATTACCAGTCACAGAGCTGGACGAATGAACAGAACACAGCAAAAGATAAGTGAACAATAACGCTATACTAAAATGAAATAAAATCTTTTAAGCATAAAAGCATACAAAAGAAGCAAAAATTAAATATGCAATCTCTAACTAGCATAATTTTGAGCCCTGTAAGATCAATTATTGTTGGCCTCTGTTGCATCTGTAATGATATGCAATGAATGATAAAAAAACAGAAGTGATTCTCTTTGGGGCCAACCAGGTGGATGTGGGACCGCTGAGTGAACATGTGCGTCCCACAGTCACCAACCTTGGCGTCACTATAGACAGTGATTTTAAATTTGACAAGCAGGTCAACAGTGTTTTAAAATCGAGTTTTTATCATCTGCGGCTTTTATCCAAGGTTAAAACTTTTTTATCTTTTAACCTTTTTGAAAAAGTTATGCACGCTTTTATTTCTTCACGTCTGGACTACTGTAACGCACTCTACTCCGGTATTTCACACAAGGCACTTCACCGGCTACAGTTAGTCCAGAACTTTGCGGCACGGCTTTTAACAGGAACCAAAAAGCGCGACCACATCACTCCCGTCCTTGCGTCCTTGCACTGGCTTCCTGTTCATTTTAGAATTGATTTTAAGATTTTATTGTTTGTTTTTAAAGCTCTGAATGGACTGGCCCCTCCTTACATCTCGGACCTCATCCAGATTTACCACCCGCCCCGCGCACTGAGGTCCGAGAGCCAGCTCCAGCTCGTGGTGCCTAAGACGAGACTTAAAACCCGGGGGGACAGGGCCTTCTCTGTGGCTGGACCAAAGCTCTGGAACGCCCTGCCCCCACGTCAAAACAGCTCCCTCGTTGGAATGTTTTAAGTCACGTCTTAAGACCCACTTTTATTCTCTGGCTTTTAACACCGCGTGAGTCGTGTGGTCCTCTGTGTTTTTATTTTATTTTATTTATTTATGTATTTTCTTATATAAATGTGTGTATTTATTTATTTGTTGCAATTTTGCATGTTGTGCAGCACTTTGGAAACTGCGTGTTTATGAAATGTGCTATATAAATAAAGTGGATTGGATTGGATTGGATCTGTAGAACAGATTTTTCAAATATAGGGAAAAAGAGGAGACCACCCTCACTCGGCCAATTCGCTCTCAGCCCAAATCAACAATTAGGGACTCACAGGGCTCTTTATTACAAGTATGTATTAGAAAACAAGTTTTCTAATAACATGAGGATGACATGTTGTGTTTTGTTTACATTTTGCTTCCACAAGACACTCTCTGTTAAGAATACTAGAATACACAGTATTTTATACTTGCCTCTTATTTTGCCAAATGTAAAACCTTTACATTTCTTTTTATTATTATTTCAAGATTAAGTTTTAATACTTTTTATTGATGCTAGAGTTAGAGATTTTGTTTTATTTTAATTAGTATAGCTATTGTTCACTTAACTTGCGCTGTGTGCTCCTCTTTTCTACTGTCCTATAACTTGTGATGCAACACTGAAATTTCCCCACTGTGGGACAAATAAAGGATCTCTTTAATCTGTTGGGGGACAAAGAAAATGTAGTATTACTTATGAACAAAATTAAGTTCTCCAGCTAAAGCAACACTGAAAAAAGTGGTGAAAAATAAGTCGAAAATTGTTTTGGACACAATGACTAAAATGAAACCCAATTTGCCAAACCAGAAAAATACTTTTCTAGAGACGCTTTCTTTGTGCAGATTGGAAGCAGTGTCTCTCTCATGACCAGTGCGTAAGCTGTAGATGTTCATTGGTGTTAAATCAGCTTAAAGCAAGTTCAACCCTAAATGCACCAAGATACACTCAATTATATAACGTCGCCAGCCGTCTGCGCGTACAATAATTACGAGAATATGGTAAAAAGTCGACGCTTACATAAGGAGTAACTTTAGCTATATGTGAGGTAGAGTGATTCAAAGGGGGTGAGCTGGTGATGGGGACAGGGACTTGGAAGCAGATGTTTTAGGATTATACTTGGAAATGTCCAATGTAGTACAAGTTGAGTATTTGGTCTTAGGGTCAGATCTGTACAGGGTCTCTACAGATGAACGTGCAGCTGGAAGAGGAGATTAGAACAAAGCTCTATTCTCTCATGTAGGATGAGTCCAGAAACAAGTCAAGTAGCATTAAGGATAAACACTAAGGACATTGACTGTTAAAGAATGGAATTCAACATGCTATAGTATTTATATAGTTAATCTAACAAAGTGTTTGTTTCTAGTGGAAAGAAACAACTGTGGGAAAGTACACAGAAAAAATCTGTAATACACTCTATTGCATGGGTCTTCAACCTGTGGCTCCACCCCCAAAGGATTTAAAAATTCAATATATGATCCCTGAATTATTCACCCTTAAAACCTTGAGGAATTGAATGGATTGTAGAATTGACCAAAACAAACTTAATTCCTTCATTTTACTATACATTTTTTCATTAATCCAGGAACACTGTGCAGAATAATGGTATATCTATCTGTCTATCTAATCTATCTATCTATCTATCTATTCTATATGGTCACGCAGCAGTCTCACTCGGGCCAGCAGGAGGCGCCACGAGCGTGAGTATGAGCATTGGTCACGCGCTCTGTCGTCTGTCATGTGATTGCTGTCTCTGGTACGTGCATGGATGTGTGGACTCTGCTCTTATCGAAGTATTATTTTAAGAGTACAGACGCATCTAACGCGACGGAAATTGACTTAGAATAATTGTATTAATGAGGCTTTAACTTGACTGCAGCCACTCGGTGAATGGAGTTACTATATTCCCTAAACAGAGACTGTTGTTACGCGCAGTGCTAACATGCTAACATGCTAACCTAGCTTACATCGCTCGTGTGTTTATTCTACAGCTGATGTTTTCCTGGTTCTTTTCGCACAGATTCTTCGCACACTGCTGCCATGGCTGATGTGAGTATGTGCATGTCCAGGCGTCTCAGTTCGTGTGTTGTCATCCCAGTGACATAAGAGACCGCTGTGTATTTGACATGTTTAGCTAGCTACACAAACAAAGACACGTGACTGATGAGTCTTGTATCCTTTTTTTAGGATTTCAAAAGATCTCTGTACAAACAGCTACAAAGGTAAGTGGGTTCTTCATCAGTGTATGATCAGCGTATGATATTTTTTTTGGAATACGTTTTTGGTGGCCCCCTGCTTTGCTGACAGAAATTGATCTTTGAGATTCACACACACACCAGTTCATAGGGTCCTCCAGCTATCTCCATCAATGTAAGCATGTTATACCTCGTTGTAAAGTTCAGAAACTTGAATCCTGCAATTGACTTTATTTGAATATGATGACATTTATTTTTGAGTCACACAATCATAGATAGAACTAATCTAGCTGATTTGTCATTCAGTTAACTTCAGTTGTCAAAACATGGACATATCATTCCAAAACTCAAACAGTTTTTTACAATCCATGTTGTTGGCCCCAGAAAACTCAAATGAACTAAAGTCAAGCCACTATTCCTAAAAAGTTTGGGCACCCCTGATGTTTGTTATTTTTACAGTGTTGAAGGTCTTCATGCCATTGTGGTGACGGACAGAGATGGCGTCCCAGTTATCAAAGGTAACCAGTCATGACTCATAATTAGGGCTTTATAATGTTGGAAACAAGTGTGACATTCGATAGTGTTAAGGTTGTGCTATAACTATTTATTTAGTTTTTCTTCAAAAAGGAATCTGTTTTGAAAATGTGGCAAAAAGTTGTGTTTCTCTAGCTACATACATTCTTCAACATGCTCTGTTATTGGCAGCACATTTGAAAAAAAAATAATGCTCAAGATTTAACATACATATTTTTTATATGAATAACATAGTTTCTTTCCCTAAATAAATGAGGTAGTACTTTGTTCTGTAACACAGTCTCTTCTGAAGTCAATGTTCTTCCCCATTTCATAAGTGCTTTTTTTTTAGGGTGTTGGCTTTTGTATTTGGTGCTTTCCAGCTGCTGTTTTGAGAATCAGTCACTCTATAAATGACACATTTAAGGTTGCGCTTCATTGGTCAAAGTAAAAAAACTCGCTTTGCACATTCTTGCAGTATAAATAATGCACTTCTGCCACTACTGCAACAATGTTTTTGAAGTACTCTGCAGCCCTCGTCATGATATGAATAAGTGGCAAATTTTAGAGCAGCTATGCAGTTGTTCTGTCATTTAATGGATTTCAATGGATGGTTTTTTTCTAATGTTTTCCCAATTTGTTTGTGCAGTTGCCAATGACAACGCTCCCGTCCATGCCTTGAGACCGGGTTTCCTATCCACGTTCGCTCTGGCCACAGACCAGGGCAGCAAACTGGGCCTGTCCAAGAACAAAAGCATCATCTGCTACTACAACACCTACCAGGTAACTGCCATGTCTTTCTGTGGGAATTTGTTTGTTTTTTACCATTCTTTTAGATTTGTTGCTTAAAACAGGATTACGTTTTTGGATGGGATTCACACTTCACCCTATTATTCTTCCACATTTATAATAATAATAATAATAATGCATCGGTTTTATATAGCGCTTTTTTGGACACTCAAAGACGCTTCACATGTGTCATTATTCATTCACTCCATACACGGTGGTGATGAACTACTACTGTAGCCACAGCTGCCCTGAGGCACACTGACAGAAGCGAGGCAACCAGTATGCGCCATCGGCCCCTCCGACCACCACCAACCATTCACACACACCAGACTCATTCTAGGCAATGGGGGTGAAGTGTCTTGCCTAAGGACACAACAGCAGTTTGGCACTTTACAGCCGCAGCCGCCCCACTGTGGCTGGTGTTCCCAGAGGTTAAGTGTCTTGCCAAGGACACAACGACAGTAGTCAGTGGGAGTCGATGGTGAAAGTCTTGAGCGGGGCTTGAACCCACGACCTTCTGGCTCAAAGGCCAACGCTCTACCAACTGAGCTACTGCCGCCCTTAAAATTATTATTATAATTATTCCGATATGGTTCTACTGCAAACGGCCAACGACCTGAATCTGAATCCTTTGTGTACAAAAGGATTTACTAACTTTGTCACCTGCTATCTTTTTCCCTTTAAATTGTTTTGTAGCTCTTATTGTTTGTGTCACACACGCCCTGCACTTACAGTAGTGAACAAACGGGCTCAAAGTAGAAGTCATTATTCAATTAGGCTGTTTTGTACATTGTGCTCTTTCATTATGCAGTACAAATCATCATTGATATTAGACTCAACTTAACATGTTAAACCAATAAATGATGCGGTGGTCCTGTGTGCTTTTTACTGCATGCTTCTATGCACCGAGTATATATCTATTATTTTGTTATTTAGACCTTATTAAGGAGTCCTATGCAGGTACAGGATACATGTTATATACCACAACAAAATAATAAAACAGATAGTATACAAGGCTGGCTGCAAAGAATATGAAACGTGACTTTTTTTGTATGTTTAGATATGATGTACCATGCATTAAAATCTCAAAAGCCAGTTGGTTTAGAATTGTTTTTGGTTGCAATTAATTATATTATCAATTACGCATGACATATAAAGATGTTTGAACTGTAACTTTGTTTGATTATTGATGTGATGGTCAAAATGAATAAATCACTCAATCAAAGGTAACATTGCTAAAAACAGATAATGCATTTAAAGTCAGACAAACTTTGGTCACAGGTCCACCGCGGTCTTCCCGTCGCCATCAGTCCTAGTCCTGCTCCTGCACCTCAGCGCGGTGGACTTTGATCGATTAGATTGCTTCTGATTTTGCGAGTTTTACCTGTATATGCATCCACAGATCATCCAGTTCAACCGTCTGCCCCTGGTCATCAGTTTCATTGCGAGCAGTAACGCCAACACAGGTAAAAGGGGATAGAGGCAGACCATAGAGTGGAATAATAATGGGTTTTAAATGTAATGTGATTTTCAGCTTCAAATTGTGACCTTGCTGTGTGCAGGTCTGATCATGAGCCTGGAGAAGGAACTGGCTCCTCTAATAGATGATCTGAGACAGGTGGTGGAGGTGACATGATCCAAAATGCCTCTCCTCTCCTCCTCCTGGTCTGATCTAAGGTTGAATGGGGTTCCAGAGTTGTGTGTACTCGCTCCGAATGACCTGTGTATCATTATGTGTTGTCGCACTGTCAGTCACTTGCCTACTCAAGTAAAATTATTTCTATGATTTCTGTAAATATAATAAAAGTGAAACAATTGCACAACACTGTCTTATTTATGTTTATTATAAAGAAATTGGTACAAAAATAGTTGAGTGAAAAATGAACATAAGCAAGGCAAAAAGAAAAAACGGCTATCATTTCACCAGCAGGACTTTTTTCATGAATAATACCATATGTAGATTAAGTTTTTACAACTGAAAATGAAGACAATCAGAAGAATGGCTTCAGGCAGCAGGGGTCATCTTCCTTTTCTTATCTGTGACTGAAACATATTTACAAATTTAGTTCATTCAGATAAAATGAGAGCAATGGAAAAAGCCAAAAAAAAAAAGTCTCCCTTACAAGCAGAGTTCTTGAGTTGAGTGCTTGAAATAAGACATGGCTTTGTGCCAATGGCAAATTTTGTTTTAGAAAGAATGTACTCAAATTAATATCGAAAACACCCAATTTAACCATTTTTTTTTTACCTCATTTGGTCACGTTTTGCAGTGTAAGTTTCAGAAGTAGGGGATGCCTGACTGGGTTGGAAATGTCTGGTTTTGAATAAAGGAAGTGCTGCTCTTTGCACTGCATAAAAAGTGACCAAAGTTGGTAAAAAAGGGTGAATATTCTCAGCGACAATATAGGAATAAAAAATGAGGAAATATGCATACAATTGAGCAGTCAAAATGTACAAGTCAACAAAAAACGACTTGATTCAAGAATGGTGAATTTCAGTAGTTTATGCAGTGTATACTTTCTTCAGCGTTTCAAAACATTTTAAACTGCCACACATCTAACTTTCCCTAAATTACAGTGAATCAGTTAATGTGGTTACTCTGAGCAGAAGTGGCTGCAGATGAATAAACTAACAATAGTGCATAAGGGAAGCTATTTTCTGTATATGAACTCCACTGAGACGCAGCACTTACCAGCTTCCATTTGAGTATCTTTAACCACTCGTCAGCCTCCACTCCAGTCTTTGCACAAGCGTAAAATGTCCTTTCTGGAAACACCAAGCTGTGGCACACACAATAGGGTTGGATTTTAAATTTAAATATTAATTTGAGGTGCATAAGTTTGTTTGGACTTAATAAATAATAGAAAGGAGATAATTTTTGTGGAGAAATGTCAGTAATATCTAAGAAAAAAGTTGAAATAGCTCTGAGTAGATGAATTTTTAGCTTTAGAAATTGAAACATAAATCTAAAACACACAAAGAAGAGTAAGTGATTCACAGTGGGTTCATTTAATATTTTATTTTATTCTTTATATTATTTTAATTATACTGTCTATCTTAAAAAATAGACAATTTGATGTGGGCAATCTGAGCGCTCTTATTGCCTTCTTTCTCTGCCGTAATGTGCGCAACGATGACACTGAAATGTCTCCACTGTGAGACGAATAAAGTAATATCTAATCGTATCTTCTGTATAAATGGCAGATTGCACATTCTGACATTGCCTCACCTGGGCTCCACATTACGCTTGTCATTTGAGACGAATGAGTGCACTGTGTTGGCATGTACCCTGCTCAGCTTCAGAGGTCTGACGGGATCTGGCTTTCACATGCAGGTATGGCCAGTTGTATAAAATAATATTAAAAGGAATCACTTGGATCACTTTTCAGTTACAGCTACAATTACTTTTATTACCCACAATTAAATCTTGTGGATCATTTGCTTAGAAGATTCTTTTGATAAGACAAATACGCAATGCATTTTTGATCATTTCCCGTAGAACGATGAGAGTTTAAATGCATCAGTGAGACCAGACACAACCCTGTTTCCTTCTCTCTTCTACTTCCTCTTTTCCAGACCCAAAGTCACGCTCGACTGAGATGGAAAGTACGCATTTAAACAACAGCTGACAACTGCACACACCAAATTCCAACACGAGAAGCCCTTGCCTTATAATTGTGAAGTCCCCATGATGACAGCGGAAGAAAAGCTGCAAGAACAAACTTTCCGCAAAGATTATCTCATCTGCCTATTCAAAGCTAGAGCTCTCTTTTGGTTCCATCAATATGACATACAAAGCAACATGCGAACAATGTCTTTTCTATTTCTTCTATCATATTAAAGGCTGAAAAAGCACATCTAAAGCTGTGATAGATGCCGAAAATACATGTGTGCGAAAACTATTGCGAGAACTCTTATACAATATATTACGTCAGAAAATGATGGCGATAAAGAATATTGAAACTATTTTATGCCACTGAAGCAAGTGCAAGACAGCATGAATAATCTTAGTAAAGTATATTTTATAGCTATTACACTAGAAAGCATGCACATAGAAAATAGACACCCAAACGAAATCTTTATTTGAACCATCTATAGTTAAGAAGTCCTGGTTTTATTTAAAAAAAAAAAATAGAAAGGAAAACAATTCTCAACATCATGACTTTGTTTGTTATGATGTTGATAATTGTGGCCCATACATTTTCCAATTCCCACCTATCAGCATCATAACAAAGTCTAAATAAGTCTAACTTTGAATGTAAAGAGTCACATTAAGTTGAATTTCAGAAGGATTTACTTTTGAACAATATTCCAATGTTCAGTTTCACCTGTAGTACGCTAAAGTATGCCTCCGAGATTCTATACTTCATTCTGCTCTAAATGACTTGCTTCTTTATTTTGCTAAAGTTAGAGATTTTATTCTTGCTTCTTTATTTTTCTAAAGATAGATATTTTATACTTGTTTCTATATTAGGCTAAAGCTATAGATTTTATACTTGCTTCTTTGTTATGCTTAAGTGAGATATTTTATTCCCTTTAGTATAGAGTTTTTTATCTTGTGCAGTTAGTTCCTCATTCCTACACTTCTGTAACCAGTGATGCAACACTGAAATGTCCCCTGTCTGTGGGAAAAATTAACGATCTCTTCATCTTGTTGCGTACTCACCAAAAGCAGTTGACTCGGTCCTGGGAGTAGTCGAACTGGACAGCAGAGCACGCCCTCAGGTCCAGGGTCCGGATGGGCTCTTCACACTGCCACAGAGGAACCAGGTCAGCACCAGACCAGGACTTTCTGAAGACCGGTCTGTACCTAAAGCGCTCACCTCTCTGTCACGGAAATATTTCAGCTCGTATCTGCTCAGCGTGAACCATCTCTGTTTCCAGCTCTGCGTGAAGAGCACAGTGACGTCAGCAAAAACAGACCAGAGCCAGTCACATAAAGATCACTGCATCTGAGAGAAAATCTGACCTTGACCAACGCTCCTTGTTTGATCAGGTATCCCTCTTTGGTTCCGAGCTAAGACAAAGAACCCAGAATTATTGGCTATTTGTTTATGAAAAACCACAAACGTGCATAAACACCAAATGTGCACACAAAGACTGTATAAAGATGGATAATGCTAACCTGCTAGCTCCTATCGACTCACATCGAACAGTAAACTCTTCTCGGTGTTCTCGGTCAGTACCGTTTGTGTCACACTCACTATTTTGGCCTAAAACAAATTATTGTGATCCTGGGTTTATATTTTGGTATTGTCATTGTAAATCCAGATATGAGCCATATAATAAATAACCAATCAGCATCAGAGTCATTTTTCTTGCCATGTAAGTAACAGGAAGTCACAGACTAGGAAATTGCTTTGGCTCGGTGCAACAGTCAGAAAAGAGAGGTAAAGATAGAGAAGCATGCACTTCCAAGGTATAAAATTTAAAATAGAAAAAATCAGATGCCTTCATTCGCAGGGGAGAACTCCAGCTTGCCTTAAGCAACCGTTTTAGCAACTTGTCAGTCCCTGTTACTGTACAAACCGAATGCTGTTGTAAAACATGCCCATATAAGGAAATCTGCTCCAGCTAGCTTATGTTCAAATCGGCCTCTTCTGCATTAAGCTAACACTGCGGGGGTGTCAGTGCGTGAGATCAATAAAGTCTATCCTATCTTTAGAAAACACTAAATTACGTAAAGCTCGGAAAATGTAAATATTGTTCAAAAGGTCCATTTTACTTATTATTTCAAGTTATAATGTGAAACTAACATATAACTCACAAATAAATATAAAAGCCTTTATTTGCTATAATGTTTATAATTGGCTGACAGCTGTAGAAAAAAAAAACGGTGAACAAAGCCGATGCATGACTGTTTAAACATGTGCGTCCTAATGTGCTACTAAGAAGTCCTGTGTATTTCCCTACATTTCCTGGTGTCTGACTCTGCTGTTCACATAAACTTCAATATCAGCTGACAGAACAGAGTCCAAAAAACATACATTTGCTGCTGGGGTCTAAGAACTTAAATACAGTACAATACTAAATACAAGAACTAAATGTACAGCATGCACTCGTGTATGTAAATAAATGATAAAAGCTTTCATAGTTGCCGTGGGAGATAGTTACCGCGGGGGCGTTGGGCACCAGGTCGCTCTCTGTGCGGCCGGTCAGCACGGCGGTGTGGACCCTGACCGACTCGTAGATGGACGGCTCCTCTACGCGCCATGGGTACGGGCACTTCAGAACCAACAGAGTTTCTGTGGACACACAGACATGCTGGTAACTTTTTCTGCATCTAGTGTGTATATCTATGTCTATATTGTTGTGAAATTATCTTTTACTTTTGAATTATAAGTAGTTTCCCCAAGGATAAACGTCGGCTTGGTTTTCCACCAGAACAGAGTGAGTGCCAGTTACCATAGCAATACACTGTTACTTGCTAGCCGTTAGCATTTGGTCACTTTAAATCAAACTGGTTATTTTTGCTGTATTTAAGTTGTATTCACGAGGTTTCGATTGCACTTATTAAAAGTGAGGGAAGTTACAATCCTTGTAAACTACTTTTACTAACTTATTAGGATTCTATTGGTTTAAAGAGGGGCTCTGAGAGTACAAGCAGTTTCATAATTCTGGTAGCTCTAGTGTTAAACGAGTGAAGGAGACCGCCGCACTCACCGGCGTCACTGCCCAACAGCGGCTGGTTGGCAAAGTGCTTCACAAAGTCCTCGAGTCTGGGGAACTCATTGAAGCCAAACACGTAGTGGTTTTCTCTGCGCGTTACGTGGAAATGTTTCACTGAATCCATGGCCCTGTTTGTTAGACAAGAATAATGTTAATCTATCGAACTTTGCATGACATGGCCGATGAAGCAGGAGGAGCAGGAGGAGGAGCAGGAGGAGGAGCAGAAGGAGGAGCAGGAGGAGCAGAGAGTCTGACCGGACAGAGAGAGCAAAGCTTTGTGGCCCCTCGTTGCTGTTCCGCAGGAGGTAGCTGCCGTCCACTCCATTGTTCAGCAGCAGAGCCTCAGCCGCGTGCCGGGACAGGTCGTAGTGGTACCACCTGTGGGCAAGAGGAAGTTACTTTAACCTGGTCAGAACAGGGCCTTTCTGAGTGGAGTTTGCATAGGTCTGCGTAAGTTTCCTCCAAGTGCTCCGGTTTGGCCTACCACTAAAACATGCACAATTGGTATGAATGTAATGAGTGAATGGATGGAGTTGGTTGGGGCTTTGATGCACCACTGTGGAACAATAACTGGACTCTGAACATTGTTAAGCGCTTTAGGGACCTTGGTCTTTAAAAAGGTCCTATATAGATAAAATGTACTTACATTACATTTAACTCCTATTTTTTTTAATCATAGATCTTTACCAAATGGATGCAGTTTGATGTAAGAGTGAAAACTCATGATAGAATCCAACTGGTTAAGATTCTCTAGATTCCTCCAGCTTGTTCCACTGGTAACTCTAATACTTGATGGTATCTGATGCTGATCAGTGTAGTTGCCGTGTAAACAAACTTTTTCAAGTCAAACTATGGAACAATATAGCATAGCTATAGCTATTTTAAATTTACATTTATTCCTTAGAAGTGTTTTTTTGCTCCTTATTTTTATTCTTTATTTTTATTATCTCTTTCTGACTGTTGCACTGAGCCAAAGCACTTTCCAAGTCTGTGACTTCCTGTTACTTACATGGCAATAAAAATGATTCTGATTCTGATTTTGTAATCATATTTTGAGGACACATGAGACGGTTCTCCTCCAAGACGAGCCAAGGTTGTGGACATGCAAGCTCATTTACATTATTTTACAAAGCACATACACAACAAAATCAGATTAATTTAAGAAATGATAAGAGAACCTCAGTTCATTGTTGCTGCGCACATACAGTAGTCAGAGCACACAGGCAGCGCACAAAATACAAAATAAGTAGCTGCTATGCTTCTTAGCTAGCTGTTAATGCTTCAATATCAACCTTTTGAAATATCTCTGTCAAGTGCATTGATGCAGTGCAGTTATTAAGAGATCCTTTATAATCCCACAGCGTGGAAATTTCAGTGTTGCATCACAATTTACAGAACATAAGGAATGAAGATCACACAGCACAAGATAAATGATAAAAAGCTATACTAATCAAAATAAATCTCTCTCTAACATAGTAAAGAAGTATACCATTTATATATTTGACAAAAAAAGTCTACAAAGTACTGCGTAATCTAGTGCAAGCAATATGTAGTTATGTGTTAGCAGCAGCATATATACAAATACATTTACATATAAATAAGGCAGGATAGTAGATAAAGTGACAACAATTAAGCATAAAGTATGCATTAAACATGACTTGCCAACGGAACAAGCTAAAATTTATCTTTTCAAGGACAGTAGCAATTTCTTATTCTTGAAAATACAATACTAAAAACTTTGGCTGGAACCCAGATGAGCAGCCCAGATAACAAACGCATACTGTCACTTTAAGAACTTAAAACTTGATAATGAAAATACATAAAGAACCACACAAGCTGCTCTAAATTACACCCCTTAAAAGTAATTTATTCTAATGAGCCTCGTCCATCCTGCAACCATTAAAACTGGGTTAGGCTGTGCAGCTTTCAAACCACAATCAAATAAACAATCAAACCAGTTCCTTGCTCTCAAAACAGTTCCATAGATTTTGTTATGGCAAGACAAGGAATGTTTAATTGTACAGCACAGTTCATACTCAGGGCAACAACAAAAAACAGCAAGAAAAAAACATTAAATCATAAATAATCACGGTACATTAAAAAGAGTGAAGATAAAATCCTCAGTTGTATGCACAGCTAAACAACCTGGATTTGAACATTGTCAGAGTTGAAGCCTATTCTTGATATTATTTTTTTTGCATTATTGTTTTACCTTATAGGTTCTTTGGGTTGTAATGCATGACTAGTGCTTTATAAATAAACTTGATTGTTTCAATCTGAAACTCCATGTAGTCCAGACCTGAGAACTGGATTAGTATACATAGTTCCCACAGACCAATGAATGTCACATGACCTCCTCGGAGACGCCATCTTTGATGGCACGCTGCTGTGTTTGTGCATTCCATTAAACAGAAGAATGAGAATAAATGTAGATATTCAAACGCAAATTGGAAAAAAAGGGCAACTTTTGAGCAAATAATTGTATATTAATACAATGGCACCACAGTTTAACGTGCTACGGACATGTTTTACATATTTGATCAAATTATGCAGCAAAAATTAACAAGCAATGCAAACATTTCTCAAAAACTTTAGATTTAATACCAATTGGAGCTCCATTTAATTATTTTAATTATATTAACAATTAATTTAATTAATGCTAATGCCACACGGACACTCTGGATTGCTGTTACTGTTTATTTCCGCGTTTTTGACCGTATGTTTTGGTGAATGGTGGGCAACTGATTTTTCCAGGCGTAAAGAGCAGTTTATTTTATGACACAGATCTTTTTACAGAAGCAATGCTGTTTGTGAACATTGTTTTAGCCCACCATAGAACTATTATTATCTATTTAATACATTTACGTTGCCCTCGAGAGCCTCGGACGCGACACCGATCCTCCTCATAATAAAGTAATCTAAATAATGAAACTCTCAAGTTACCAGCTATCAGCATACACAAGTTAGTACTGAGTAAATTACGTCTGTCAACACATTATAAGATACGATACGCACCTGACACAAAGTGCTCCGAGCATATTCTTGCGTGTTTTGAGGGAGTTTCTTGCCTGTTTATCTTCGCAAGCCATAACCTCCGTGGTTGTTCTGACAAAAGCTTAGTCTTCTCACATTCATGAAGTCTAATGATGGGTATACTGTAAAATCCAAGTTTAACGGAACCTCCGGCACGATTTGAACATCCATTGACCCAGCAGGAGATGACCATTGTATACATAGTTCCCACATGACGTCACTACATACGGGGATTTGCCGACCCGGCGCCATTTGTGTTGGCATTCTGTGGGCAAAACAATAGAAAAAGAAGCTGAAACGTGTTAATGTCGTGATAAAGTTGAAAATGGTCATCTCCTGCTGGGTCAATGGATGTTCAAATCGTGCCGGAGGTTCCGTTAAACTTGGATTTTACAGTATACCCATCATTAGACTTCATGAATGTGAGAAGACTAAGCTTTTGTCAGAACAACCACGGAGGTTATGGCTTGCGAAGATAAACAGGCAAGAAACTCCCTCAAAACACGCAAGAATATGCTCGGAGCACTTTGTGTCAGGTGCGTACCGATGTTCCCCGGGTCCGATGTTCCCCCGCCAACAGAAGTGGGGGAACATCGGGACTTCAACAACGAGACTAGTCCCGCTGTTCCCCGCGTGCGCCCTTTGATGTTTGATGTTTCCTCCTCCACGAAAGATGGCATATGATCCGTGCCAACTTTTGTGAGAGAAAAAATACTAACTAGCCTAAGCCTATTTACTTTTCTTTTTCCCTCTCGCTCTTTGTGTGCTCATATTTCAGCTGATCGCAGTTTGAGTCTATGCAGGATATTTTTGGGCATGTTATGGGCATGTTATCTCCCCTTGCTCACTCTCCCATGGGCATCTATATTTGACAAGTCTGACTGAATAAAATGAGGACGATTGAAACTAGAGCTACTACATCTGTTAGCCTATAGTTTTTCCAAATACGTGGTTTTGCTGAGGGCACTGTGCTTTTACGCATAATGGACACGCATATGACGTCGTTTTTGTTGTAAAACTTGAATATGCTCTTTTAGTTTTAGAGATATTAATACATATTATTCTATTCAGAATGCGTGCGTCATTGTGCATTGTTGTCCCGCCTTACGTGTCACTCACAGTTAAAATGTAAATAACCAATTCAAACATAGCATTTTTACAACTTGAGCTTTAAGAAAAAAATGATCAAAGGAATCAGTGTAAAATAAGATCGGAAAAGCTCAATTCATGATTGTTTAATTAGGTTTCCCATTTTTAAATACAATTGGAAACGCTCAGAATTCAAAAATATTGAAAAGTGTATTGGCTCCTACAGTGGGGGGAATAATAATAATAATATAACCCCCTGAGCGTCATCACGTTCCTACGTTGCTTCAAATATAGTCCTGTTTATTGGCTGAACAATTTTGTCCAATATCATATTACACAGCGTGAAGCGAGAATAACCAGCTATTCCTCGTCTTAAAGATTGACAACGCTCTCAAAGCATTCACAACAGAGCAGCCTTTTTCATTTTAATTTTAAGAAAGTTCAGCGTGAACTTTGTGAGGTAGAGGAGCCAGAGGCCCGGGCCCGTAGGTCCCAGAGGAGGAGAGCGCGGTCAGGCTGGCCTCGCACTGATGAGGTAAACTCTAGGCCTGTGTGAGACACACTGTGGGCCTCACTGTAGGCCTCACTGTGGGCCTCACTGTGGGCCTCATGTATGAAACCTGCGTACGGCCAAATCAGGGTAAATGAGGCGTACGCAAAATATTACACTTTTTTATCAATCTGGACGTGAGCGTACAATACGCAAAAAATAAACGCCAGGTCTGGAGGTGGTGTAAATCTATACGCTGAACTCAACCTTCGGCACAACACGCCAAAACATACGCATGAAATTCAAGATATGTACAACAATAAACATATTCCCTCTGGCAAAATTATATGCTGTGTTTTCATTGAGGATCATGTTTCAAAATTTGAATTTGCGCATCAGAAAAAGTCTAATGGAAACACGCAAACTTCGAATAAATCACAGCTCATGATGAGGACCCTCTATTAAATCTGACTTGTGTGTGTATTATTTTGATCTGTATGTTTTTAAAATGTGAAGCGCTTTGTGATCCTGGACAGTCAAAGGCTCTATATAAATACACATACGCAACAGGGATGTGTGACCCATCTATTGCTGTGGCAGGCTCTGCGCTGCGTAATTACGCACGGCTATTTGTATTCCTCATTCACATCTGGTAAAGCAATGTGTTATTTCATTAGATTTGTGTAAGCCTCACACAGACACACACCCCAATAACGCATCGATGGTATTGCTCACTCAAACGTCTCACTGCCCTGTCCAGAGTGCGCAGCGAGTGCCGTGAGAGGTCGCGCCACATGTGCAGAAGTTTTGGCTCCAGAGTTTCTTTGTGAAATCTGGACCGCAAACGCTCTCTGAAGTGTACAGCGCCTCAATGCGCACTTCTACCCCGAGCCAGGCTGCGTCCAAGACGCTGCAGACGCTTCATTCAGAGCCACCGCTGCATAATAAATATGAATTCATTCATTCATTCAATCAATCTATATTTATTCACTTCTACAATTCAAGAGAGATTTTTCTAATGTATCAAAACATTTTGGCAAATTGCGTAAATGGAATATACACCCAAAATGTACATCTTTTTCAACGCAAGTTTCATAAATGAGCTTGTGTGTATGTGCGCGCGTGAGTGCGTGTGCGTGCGTGTGTGCGTTTGAACCATATTCTTTGAAACCCCAATTCCAGTTAGCCCTTGTATTTTTCAAGCGAATTTGGCCTACTTACTAATCTGCAGGCCTACCCAAAATTGCAAACCTGGCGCCAATACTGTTGCGAGGATGAACGGAGGGAGATATGTTTCCAAAAAGAAAAGGTGGTGGAGCTAATTTTACTTTTCTTATCTGCAACACGTTCTTATTCTGAGGTGGTAGGTTGTAAAAATGTAGTTGGCTACTACAATGCGAGATCTACAAGGCTTATAATATAAAGTATTCAGTAGCCCTAGACTAGTTATGAGCGAAAGCCGCTTGTTGCTCCATTATCCGCGCGCAGCAATAACATGTCTATGAGCGAGGCCCGCAGTCAGGGAACACCGGGCCCTCCGGCGTTTGGAAGGTCCGATGTTCCCCGGGTCCGGTGTTCCCCGCCCCGGGGAACATCGGGGATCGGGGACCCCCTTTGTGTCAGGTGCGTATCGTATCTTATGTGTTGACAGACGTAATTTACTCAGTACTAACTTGTGTATGCTGATATCTGGTAACTTGAGAGTTTCATTATTTAGATTACTTTATTATGAGGAGGATCGGTGTCGCGTCCGAGGCTCTCGAGGGCAACGTAAATGTATTAAATAGATAATAATAGTTCTATGGTGGGCTAAAACAATGTTCACAAACAGCATTGCTTCTGTAAAAAGATCTGTGTCATAAAATAAACTGCTCTTTACGCCTGGAAAAATCAGTTGCCCACCATTCACCAAAACATACGGTCAAAAACGCGGAAATAAACAATAACAGCAATCCAGAGTGTCCGTGTTGCATTAGCATTAATTAAATTAATTGTTAATATAATTAAAATAATTAAATGGAGCTCCAACTGGTATTAAATCTAAAGTTTTTGAGAAATGTTTGCATTGCTTGTTAATTTTTGCTGCATAATTTGATCAAATATGTAAAACATGTCCGTAGCACGTTAACCTGTGGTGCCATTGTATTAATATACAATTATTTGCTCAAAAGTTGCCCTTTTTTTCCAATTTGCGTTTGAATATCTACATTTATTCTCATTCTTCTGTTTAATGGAATGCACAAACACAGCAGCGTGCCATCAAAGATGGCGTCTCCGAGGAGGTCATGTGACATTCATTGGTCTGTGGGAACTATGTATAGTTATACATGTTTTTTTTTGGACCTCTTTCACGTGTTTTGATCAGATTTTTAAGCCAATCGCCTCTCAGTACATGCCAAAGATGTTTTCTAATAAGATGAAGACAAAATGTAGTTCACAACATTTTACTTTTACAAGACAAAAAATTTGGATTTGTAAAAATATTTGTGATTAATAAAGTTAGGTACCCCAGCTTTAAGCCTGCGCAGGAGGCCCAAAGGTGCACCTCTCACTCACTCACTCACCCCAGCGTCTCCAGCTCGTCTCTCATGTCCTCTGGTGCGGCTCTGTCCAAATGCATGTCTTGTTACTCAAGCCGCGGTCCGCGTTCTGCAGTTTTCGAGCGCTCTCTACGCACTGTACACAAAGCTGCGAAACAAGGAACTGGGGAATGTAGCTCTGTGAGGAAACCACGTGCGTCATTAACCCTTTAATAGTTTCCTCAACCCTTTAATAGTTTCCTCAACCATTTGATCTACATCATTCTTTCATCTCTATCACTTGGTTTTAGGCACTTTTCCATCGAACTCCATCCCAGCATTTGGTAAAGGCCTATAATTAAAAACAAGGGGTTCAAAAAAGAAGAAGAAGACATACAACAAGTATGCTACTACATTTGAGAAAATTTAAAGCAAGAAAAGATTACATTGCTTTCTCTAAGACAGTGGTTCTCAAAGTGGGATACGCCAAAGAATCACCATCTATTTGTTGTTACTTTTTGTTTTACTCTTTTTTTATGTAACCAGGAAAGTATCATTGAGATTAACTTTTTTTTTGTTTTTTTTTTTTTTACATCAATTGACTTCAACATTGTTTTTTTATCTTTTCCTGTCCATATGTATAAGTGTCTGGGGTTTGGCTGTAGACAGTATTATATTTAGCCAGCAGGTGGCAGCAGAGCTCTGTGGGTGTCTTGGTCAAAGATCAACTGCCTGAGCACTCTGAGCAGGAGAGACAGAGGTGAAGCAGGAATGGAGTAATATAGTCAGGGTCAGGCTACATTTGGAGGCAGTTTGAGCAGTAAATGTGTCTCCAGAGCTGACACAGACCATGTGGAACGCACATACATACGTGTCCAAACACACAAAGACACACAACAGTATTCTATTGCACTTATAGTATAAGTATATTGTCGGTTCACTTTGATTTATTGTCATTTATAGTGTTTATCATTGTAATTTAGCTTATCTCTTATTTACTCTTATTGATGATGCATCGGTTTTATATAGCGCTTTTTTGGACACTCAAAGACGCTTTACATGTCATTATTCTTTCACTCCAAACACAGTGGTGATAAACTACAACTGTAGCCACAGCTGCCCTGGGGCAGACTGACAGAAGCAATGCAACTCTGTTGCAGTCTGTGCCATCGGCCCCTCCGACCACCACCAACCATTCACACACACACCAGACTCATTCTAGGCAATGGGGGTGAAGTGTCTTGCCTAAGGACACAACGGCAGCTTGGCACTTTACAGCCGCAGCCGCCCCACTGTGGCTGGTGTTCCCAGAGGTTAAGTGTCACACAACGACAGCAGATGGTGGGAGTCGATGGTGAAGGTCGGGCTCAAACCCACGACCCTCTGGCTCAAAGGCCAACGCTCTACCAACCGGGCTACTGTCGCCATAGGTGTCATAAGTATAGCGCCACCTAATGGATGAATACTGGCCATTCTTTCTGCCATAGATGTAAATGTTGACGTTTTTTGGATGAGTACATATTGAAATATTCGTGCAACACTTATTAACATATTTTTTTGCATCGAAAACATTTTCTCATAACGTGTTGTTGCTGTTTTCTAACATGTAAGATCCTGGACATGTTTGAGGAGATGCTAAAGTTAAACTAAATAGTGTCTTTTCTGCAGGTTCGTCTGTTTTCACAAACACCTCATTTTCTCATATTTTTGTCTAAGACTGGTGCTTTTTGTCACACTCCCCTCTTTTCGACTGGAGATCACAGAAGAATGAAACAAACTAAGAACAAACTTCTTTTTGCTGCTGAAAGTAGACAGTCCTGTCTTTCAGACTCTGATTTCATATTTTTCATAGCACACAATATTCTGTGAGTCTTAAAATCAGTGAAGTCATCAAAAATGGCTGGCAGTGAAGGAGACCCTCTTTTTCAAGGGAGTCCTGTACAAAAATGACATACAATTACAGATTATAAAACAGTCACATACAATTTCATAAATTTACTGATTATAAAAACAGTAACATTTCACTGAAGATGTCTCAATCTGGATCTGAAAGCATTCATTGAAATACTGTCAGATAATTTCCAGTCTTTTTGCAACACTTTCCATGTAGAAGGAGCAGCATGTACAAAAGTTTCTTTAGGAATGAAACCTCTGCCTTGTTTTTGATGAATGAAGGCTTATTACGCTACTGTGTGGTGTTGGTCATATGTGGTGGTACTTGGAGAGGCAAGGGTTTTCTGAGGGGGTACTTGAACATCCACAAATGGTTTGAATCTTATTTAACAGACAGATGCTTCATGGTAAGTTTGGATTCCTGCTCCTCTCAGGTCCATAAAATCACATGTGCCCCAGGGTTCCATTTTAAGTCCAGTTCTTTTTAACCTACATCCCTCTTGGCGGTGTCATCAGGAGACATGGAATTAACTTCCAGTTATGCAGATGATACACAGCTGTACATCTCCATGTCTCCTGATGACACCAGGCCAATGGATGCTCTTTTTAACTTCCTCCAGCTTAAAACTGACAAAACTGAAGTTTTAGACATCGGTCCTGAGGCCCAGAGAAACTTTTACCAAAACTCCAATCGCACTCTTTTAATCCATCGTCACAAGTTAAAAACCTTGTCTTAATTCTCGACTCTAAGCTGGCTTTTATTCCCCAAATTAAGAATATCACAAAAATAGGTTTTTATTATTTAAAGAACATCGCCACGGTCCGCCCCATTCTCTCTCGGGGCAACACAGAGACACTGATGCATGCTTTTATCACCATCTATCGCATTGACTACTGTAATGCCCTGCTCTCTGGTCTTCCCAAAAAGGTTATTTTAATGGTTTTTAAATGTCTTAATGGTCTTGGGCCTTCTTATCTCGCAGAACTGCTTTTACCATATGAATCTTCCCGGCCCTTGCGCTCCTCTCCGGCAGCAGACTCCTAACTAGGAGTGTGACGATATATCGATTTGGTGATGTATCGTGATACTTTCTCACGCAATCGATTATCGATATGCTTTTGCCAAGTATCGATTTAAAAAATATATATACTTTGTATTAAAAAAATATATACTGTATATTTTTTTAATTATAAAAAATGAAAATAAAGTTTCAATACTTAATATATGGCTACATTACGCATCGCCATTCCATTTATCGATATGCTTTTATATATATATATATATTTATGTAACGGCTGCAACCTCGTCCACGAGCCGTTTACAAACAACAGCTACACAGTGTAGAGTCGACTATTTTATTCAGACCTGTGACAGACAACACACACACAAGTCAGTCACAGTGGACTCTGGCTCCCCCCTCTGAAGCATTCAACACGGCTCTGAGAGGGGAAGGGGAGCAAATAATAATTGAATGTAAGTGAAAATAAAACAAATATACAAATGCACAAATAAAAACATGTTTTACATAAAAATAAATCAAACATACCTGTGACAGACAACACACACACAAGTCAGTCACAGTGGACTCTGGCTCCCCCTACAGAACGAAAACGGCACGTGAGCACATGGTTAGCTAGTCAAACAAAAAGTACAGAAGAACTAAAAATGTGCGCCAGAAAATGTGCAAAAACACGCTCACTACAGCCCAATACAATTCCCACTAAACATATCCTAATGAACACCACAAAAAATAAAGCCAAATGATTGAAAACACGTATCCCTCACAGAGACAGAACTCACCCTCTGAAGCATTCAACACGGCTCTGAGAGGGGAAGTTTGAGCGCCAAAATAAAACACAGGGGAGCAGGAATTTCAAAATAAAACGTCAAAATAATAAAATTCACACAATATTACATGTTAAAATAAAATACAACCAAATATTAAACAAACAAAATATAAAGTGCATTTCTATATCCGTTACATCCACCCCCACTGAATTTTATCAATTTTGAGCCACTGGTACACGGAATGTCCCTTCAAGGACACAACAAAATAACAACACCAAGGGGTTACCCAAAGGAAAACCAACTCACAAGCATCCCTGGGGGACGAAGTGGAATGAGGGGGGATCCAAACCCTCACCCCAGCTACTGGCAGTAGGGTGCCTTCTACACCCCACAAAACCCCATTTTCATAAAAAAAACAAAAAAACAAACAGCTCAAAGTATGACAGTGGGACAAACAAAACAAAACCGAACTAATCCAAACAGTCAAAATTGTGAGAACAATCACACATGTTTTACTTCAACCAGTAAGAGCCTGAAATACAGTTCTGCAAACATCCTTGACGTTGAAGGTGTCCGGAACAACATCCTGACGAGACATGTTCTGTATAAGTCTGTTCACAGGTTTAACTAAACGACCGAGCCTAGTGCGCATCTGGGGATGACCAACAGGGGCAGTCACAGGTGGGTCAAGAGTAGGTTCAGAAAGAACAGTATTATTGTCAAAACTAGAGCAAGACAGTCCAGTCCCAGTATGGGAGACAGAGCCAGTCACACATGATGAGTCACAGTCAGCTTGACTCGGGCTGTCAAGGGGCAAAAGGTCAGCGACGTCTGCTCGTGTCGAGTCTGGGCTCGTCAACTGTGTAACCCACGCTACAGTCCGTATCTCAGTGTCCGCCGACTCAGACGGGTCTCGGACAGGCTCGTGTTCGCCTCCACAATCCGGTTCAGTCCCATCCATACTCTGAACAGAGCAACCACTGGCAAGTGTTGAATCCATGTCCGAGGTGTCACCTAACTCAACAGGGAGGAAGTTGACAGGCAATAAAAGGTTCCTGTGGACAATCCTTACTTTCCCGGAGCTGTTGTCACTGATTTTGTAGGTGTGTGTTACATGATTGACATCCTGGACAGTGTAGATTGTCGATTCCCATTTATCAGCGAGTTTCCTTTTACCCTTCTCTCTTTTGTTTGCCATCAGCACTTGTTCACCGATTTCAATGGCCGATCCTTTCACTTTCCGGTTGTAAAGCAATGTGTGTCTGTGTTGTTCTTTCTTTACATGGTTCTGAGCAACCACCATGGCCTCTTTCAGATCATCAACAAGGGACTCAACATATCGATCATATCCAGACACAGTGGAATCATGAAGGACAGACCTGAACATCA